GAGGGAGACCGTAAAATGCCAACGATTCCATAGGTGCCTCCAGTAACTGAACTTGATGCTCTATAAACGTCCGATCTGTGCAGTGAAGAGATATTGGAGGTGCTACAGCCGGTGGCACAAACCACCTCAGTGCTGGACGAGCTAGATTGGACCCCTGCCAAGCTGTTAAAGATATATCCAGAAGATGTGGCAGGCCTTCCGCGGTATCCAGGCTCAAAGAGAGACGGGGGCTTATGCTGAACGGATGTGCGCCAGTATGAGCTACAAATTCTGCTTCCCTATGAAAACGGTCAGTCGGACATCGGAAAAAAAGTCATAGTTAGCCTACGATGAGATCCCTCTATCCTCAACAATCCTGTTTTCTTCCTCAAGGACCCGAAGCCAATTGCGCATGAAGGAAGACACCTGAAGGCCATGAACATCACTTGGTGTGGTGTTCAGAAGTCGAAGAAATGCGAACGCAGGTGAAGCTATAACATGTTACATCCAAAGGGCAGTCACTCAAGCACCATCACACACCTTCAACATCGTCGAACGTCGAACGATGTATCCACTCCGTTGACCAAATATTGAAAAGGCCACTGGTACAGTCCGATCGCCTACGCAGTCCAGACTTTTCACGAGGGACATCTATAAGCCCGCCATCTTGGTGGAATAATGCCGGAATTTGGTACTCAATAGGGTTATGAGTCGAGTAAGGAAGGGAAATGAAATCGCCTTCACGGTTCAGAGGACCAGATTGACCGAAGCGAGAGAATGAGAAGGGAGCTACCACGTCTGCACGTTCAAAGAGCTCGGGATGATTACAAACCTACATTGAAGTAAGTTGGTCAGTGTTTAGAAATGATAAGACCATATCTTACTCACCTTCCGGAACTGCATTACGAGGTTCATTAGCGATCGAGCAGAATCGGCATCCCCTATGTTTGCGGCCTTCTCTAATAGATCTACCACAGATACATTCGCCAGAAGTGCACGGTAGAGAGTACGTTGGCGTGATGACAGGTCAACGTAATGATCGATCTCAATCTAGGTAAGGTAAAATGTGAGCGATCGCTCCTCAGTGAGTGAATTGAATATAAACCTTCTCGCTCAACTCGTTTTGTACATGTCGTTTGACTCGCCGTAACATGAAAGGCTTCAATATCATGTGCAATCGCCGTAGTTGACGTTCATTGAGTTTGCTGCCCTTGTTCTCTGCAGCGTTTTCGATATCCTTAGAAAACCACTCGTTGAACTCGTCGTGGGAGTCAAAAAGACTGGGCATGATGAAGTGGAGCAATGCCCAGAGCTCTATATGGAGGTTAGTAAGTAGTGACGCTGCTGCCCCATCTCACTGACCTTGCATTGAGTTTTGAATTGGTGTGCCAGTCAAAAGCAAACGATTGCGACATTGGAATCCGAGCAATGTTTTCCACCGTACACTGGAGGCATTCTTGATATTCTGAGCTTCGTCAAGAACCATATATTGCCATTTCACGCGCTGGAAGTACTGCTGGTCTTGAGTAACCTGACAAAGACATTAACACAGCAACACAGCTTGAAACATTATGCGATCGCAACTGACCAACTGGTAGCTTGTAATCAGGACATGGAACGGTGCGTCCTTGTCATAACTGATTTCTTTTTTGCTCCAGAACTTGCGCAAGGTAGTTCGGTCTTTGACGTTCCCCCAATAAGGCAGGGCTTTCAGACCAGGCACAAAGCGAGTAATCTCCTGTTGCCAATTGTGCAATGTAGAGGCTGGTGCAACAACCAAAAATGGCCCCCATATGTCGTGTACCTCAGCAAGATACGCAAGGAGAGATATTGACTGCACGGTCTGAGGTGCAAGGAGTGTAAGGCGAGTTGCGCAGTATTCTAATCAGTCTCACCTTTCCGAGACCCATCTCGTCAGCAAGAATGCCGTTGATACCCTGTTCGTACAACGTAGCGAGCCAATTCAGACCTTTGAGTTGGTACTCCTTTAGCTGCGCCATGAGCATTTTCGGTTGCTTGATCTTGAGTTCTCCAGTGAGTGACGTCGGGTTTTGGAAGTTGAGTTCATCGGAGTCCACTGTGTACACCATTGTTAATCTCTTAAACCTGAGCACCCAAGAAGAACTCACAATCAACGAGGGGCGTATTCGAAGTGCCTGAGAGCCCAGACTCGTCATCGTCCCTAATATGTGCCTGAGCCTTGGCAAGTTTCAGAGCCTCATTCGTTTTCCTGTCGAGTGCAGCTTGCACGTCAAATTGCTGAGCCCTTTGTCTGGCAAGAGCGATAGCTTCCTGAGCGTTATGCCGCGCATGTCTGTGAAGATTGGTTTGGTCCTCTGATTATAACTTTCAGCCTCCAAATTGTCAAGATACGGATAAATGAAACCAACCGTCATCAAAGTCAATTTCTCGAAGTACTGATGGGTCAACGTCGTCAAGAGCAGCACCCACTGGCGTCGAGCTTTCAGGAGTATCTCCTTGTACTTCAGAAGCTGAGATCTGGGTGTCAGCGAACAGCCACCAAAGCATCGAAAAACAGGACTCACTCTTGAGCTTGTTACCGACGAAATGGCTGTACAACTCAGTTTGACTGATCAAGAACTCAAGTTTGCGTGCTTGACGCGCCGCCTCCCTTTTCTCTTCCTCGACCTTGGCCCTATCAATGGCCTCCTTCTGCTCGCGCTTTCGAACATCTCTCTCTTCCCGCTCATTCTTCTTCCAGAAGACTAACATTTCACGCATCAAACGTTTGCCTTTAGCTTGAACGTCCTTTTGAGCTTTTGCGGTCTTTGTGAAAGGCCGACGTGCTTGGATGGATGATAGCGTGGCTAAGCGCTTGAGCTGACCTTGACGAGCCTGGTAACCCATCGCGGCGTACTTGTACACCTACGCGACGAGATGAGAATGCAAACAGTACGTAATGCAACATCCACACATACCTTAGCAACGTCTCTCCGAGCAATGTTTGTCCAAACTTTCTTCTGAGCCTCCTCCAAGTTCTTCAATCGTTTGGCCATAGCATTCTCATCGATCTTTTTAGCGCGCTTGAGAGGAGGGATGATGTCGTCTAATTCGTATACAACAGAAGTGGCAGTGAGAGCAGGCGATACTGGCCTGGATGCCGAAGGCGTGATGTCTCCAGCGACCGATGCTCCAGCGGAGCCAATGCCAAGGCCCTCCAGAGTATCAGGTGGTAAAAGCTTCTTCCCGCCACCACCCCTCTTACGACCTTTAGGTGTTGCACTTGGTATAACACTGTCCGCGCTCGCTTCCCGCAACAGACTCTGTTTTCCCTTCGCTTTCGTCTTTGATGAAGCAAATTTGGAAGGGCTGATCCCGCCGATAGACCGTTCGAACTCGTCAGCGATTGAAGCAGAGTCTTTGTCAACCTTCCGTTTCTTTGCTGCAGGTTTGTTTCTGGATGAAGCAGGAATCTCAAGGTCACTGCTCTCGTCTGAATCTGCACCATCTGCACCACGCTTGAGTGAATCCTTGTGCTTCTGATTGCGACCTAGGTAAGACTCCTCAAACAACCGAGCCGCATCTTCTGCGCCAAATCTAGCCGAGCCAGGTTCGTAGTTATCCGGAGCGCCATAATCATATGTATCGGGAGGTGGGGAAGCGTGAATAGTGGATAGAAGCTCCTCCTCAACAGAAGGAGGTATCGGCGGGGGCGTTGGAGGTGGAAGGGGCATCCGTGCGATGCGGGACACATAGTGGCGTGACAGTGTCAGCGCCGTGCTGGAGTTGCGTTCCTATGATGAAATGTGAATCGACCGACCGGAAGTCGCAGATGTGAAACTAACCAAAACACTGGCATCAAACCACGATTCTACTTTACGCTGGCGTAGATGTGTCTCTATGATATAGTCGCTGAGGTCACCAATCCATACTTCTTCACAGTCCGAGAGGTCGGAAGATACCAGACGTCGTTCCTCTTCAGTTTGATGGTACTCTCGTGCAGCTGTTGCAAGATCCGTTCCCTCCATAAGAGGCGACTCGGGGCGATTTGCTTTTGAACGAGGAGGATTTCGACGGGGTGCCTAAGGGATAAGAATAGGAAGGTGAGTAAAGCCGAATTAGCCCTATGTATGCCTGATGAAACTTACGCGCTTTACAATCGGAGGCTGGTAATCGGGGTCGTCGTCTGGAGCCACAGGCTTTCTCCGTTTTCGCGGTGTGGGTTCATTTTCGCCTTCCTTGTAGTAAGCGCCCACGGAAGATGCGCGGGGTTCTGGAGGTGGAGGCTGGTGCTGTCCATCCCGTTCACGCTGAGAATAATAGTTGCCTCCTGGACCAAGAGGAAAGATCTCTCCCTGAACATAATCACCCGAATATGGATCCCAACCTCCGGCACCCTGATAAGAGGGTGTCTGGTAAGAATATCCACGAGGAAGTGGTGGTTGCTCTCCGAGAGGAGTTAGACTCCGACGAAGAGTTTGGGGATGAGGAGATATGACTGTGGTTCGGGAGAGAGGTGACACGTCTGCTAACGAAGGATCGATACCACCACCACGTGAGGAAGCGGATTTTCTCGCCGGGGGTGGTTCGTCGTTGAGAATTCGGCTAAGCGACATATAGAACCAAAGTGGTGACAAGTAAGATGCAAAGAGAGGAAGATATAATGAGGCAGTAGCCGACTCAAGTGTTGTAAAGACAGGTCGCCTCGTGGGACCAGGAGATGTAAAGAGAAGGGCGCTGTGGCAGTCAACCTAATGCCCGAATATTTCTTCAGAAGCTAAATAAAGTGGTGTTGTGGTCGACGTTGACGGTGATGAGCACCAACTAAGAATTTTCGGGTTAAAAAGTGTGAGCTCGGTGTGGATAACGAGGAAGACTGTTGCTGTGCAAATTACGAGTAGAGACGAGGGAGTGCTGTGACGGGAAGTTGTACTGATTTGACGTGGTATATTTCGTTTGCGGTTGGATATAGCATTCTTGCCTTTTTTGTATTCGCTGTTCCTTCCTTGCTGTTCTTGGCGGACGAGCTTCTCTCTATCAGATCTTCACACCACTCGCAGTAACCTACGCATTCTTTATCGATTAAATTGACACGAGTTGGTTACCAACTGTGCCATACTGTTTCACAAGAGGCTGGCACAGGATCTCCATGTTACAAATATCCAACAATGCCATCTTGTGACTATATGTCATCTGGGTATAACATCAATTCTGGTCGCACTTTCTCATCAAACTCTTCAGGTGTCAGGTATCCGAGCGCAATAGTCGCCTCCTTCAGCGTCGTTCCTTCCTTGTGCGCTTTCTTTGCGCACTGGGCCACGTCTGCAAAGTACGATTAACTTCGACCGGAAATGTGCGGAGTTATATTTAGCACGCACTATCATAGCCAAGGTGGCTGTTCAAAATCGTTGCAAGCATCAAACTCTCGTTCAAGAGGTGGTTGATACGCTTTTCATTGGCCTCAATGCCAACTATACAATGATTGGTAAAAGACCGTGAGGCTGACCATACAAAGATCAGCAGGTTGACAACGAGTCATTGAGTTATGAAACCTCACCATCAGAAAGAAGGCGGATGCTCTGTAGCACGTTCATGATCATGACCGGTTTGAAGACATTGAGCTAATTCGGGTTTGAATGACAAATGCGCCGTATATGAAATACAAATACCTCAAACTGTCCGCTGGCTCCAGCAACGCTAACAGCAGTCTGGTTACCCATAACTTGAGCGGCGACCATTGTTACAGCCTCGCACTGCGTGGGATTAACTTTGCCAGGCATGATACTGCTACCAGGTTCGTTTTCAGGGAGGCTCAGTTCACCGAAGCCACACCGAGGGCCAGAACCAAGGAACCTAATGTCATTGGCGATCTTCATCAGGGAACACGCGATGACATTCAGAGCACCATGAGTCTCAACCAGGGCATCGTGACTGGCTAGAGCTTCGAACTGCGGATCTTCGTCAGTAGTCGGACGAAACGATCGCCATAAATTGCCTTACCTTGTTAGGCGCGGTCTGGAACTTCAAGCCCGTAATGGTAGATATCTCGGCGGCAATTTTGACGTCGAACCCCTTCTTGGTATTCAGACCCTGCACGGCACGTAAGATCTCTACCCTTCGCTGGATGTCAAGGTGACTCACTGTGCCAACCGCAGTGCCGCCCTGAGCAAGAAGGCTCAACCGAGGAATGACATTTTGGACACGAGCAATGCCATTATCGATTTGCTGGACATATCCACTGAATTCTTGGCCAAGCGTCAGAGGTGTGGCATCCTAATAGTGATCAGATAACATCCGCATCGAAGGCCGATTATTCATACCTGCAAGTGCGTGCGTCCGATTTTGATAATCCCGCTGAAAAGCTCAGCTTTTTCGTTGAGTGCATCCCTGAGCTGCGTCAGTGCTGGAAGTAATGAGTGATTAATTTCAGTCACAGCAGCGACATGCATAGCTGTTGGGAAGCTACATGTTCGTCAATACATGCAATCAAGTATAAGCTACCCAGTAACTCACGTGTCATTACTACTCTGGCTCATGTTAACATGGTCATTCGGATGGACTGGTTTCTTAGACCCAAGTTCACCTCCAAGGAGTTCTATCGCACGATTCGATATTACCTGTTGACCACGCTGAGTAACAACACCAAATAATCAGATATTTGTTATACTAACCTCGTTTACGTTCATGTTACTCTGAGTTCCACTTCCAGTTTGGAAGACAACCAAGGGGAAGTGATCCATGAGCTTCCCAGAAATGACCTGGAGTAAAGATCAGCTGAAAGCACACATACGAAGCCTAGAACATGATTTCTCACATCATCAGCAGCTTTCTGAATGGCTTCGCCAACCTTCGGGTCCATACCATAGCTGACATTGACGATAGCTGCAGCCTTCTTCAACACGCCGAAAGCCTTGATCAGAGGATGCGGCAATCGTTGCGAGGGGCCACCAATATCAAAGTTTTGTAATGACCTGCGGAAAATGTTCAGTAGAGAACACACCTCAGACCTGATCCATACCGTTGCGTTTGTGCACCCCAATAGCGATCGGCAGGGACCTGGAGCTCACCGAATGTGTCACGCTCACTGCGGAATGCCTGATTTGACTAACACGACCATTAATTCCTCCCACTTCAAGCTTATTAACCTAACTTACTATGACGGATGATGAAAATTGCCTTTGACGAGGAATCACATGGAGGAGCTTGAAGTATGACAGAATGAATGGTATGTCACGTGAGAACTAGCGCGCAGAACTCACCCGGCGGGGAAGCCAAGTGCTCGTGGTCATGACTAGCAGTCTCTAGCAGTGATGAAAGCACAGCAAGTGGGGGGCAGGGCAGAAGGTTGTGTAAACCCGCGAGGCAAACGTTACGCGCGGCTTTTGCCGTCCGAAATCACCCGCAAGAAACCCACCGAAGGGATGGGGGCCACACCTGAGAATGGGTCTCCTTTCCAGTAGTGACCTCCAAGGCCCAGCTAGACATCGTGGCGCCGCTTTCATTATTCCAGTGTGATTATCGGTTCGTATTTCTTTGCTTTACCGTGTGCCTATAAATCGGATATCGAGTCACATCGCCGCGTCTGGCATAGATAATGATAGATCTAATAGTCGCTCAATAAACGACTTTGTCCATACCTTTGACTCATGCTTGAAATGAGACATGTTATGGCTCCCTTGTCGTGTCTTGTACTTGCTCTTGTGAAGTCTGAAATCATGCGCATGAGGTTGCATCTGGACGCCGTCACACCGGTGATCGGGTATACAAACATGAATCCACGTGATAACGGCAAGGTAATTACGCCAGGTCCCGTGCGCATCTAAAGCCTTCAAGTGGCACTTAAAGCACCTCCCTCGTCTTACGGGAATCTGTCATTTGTACATTTCAGATATGGCTACAGTCGCATCACAAGTCATCCTCCACCCTTATGTGTCTCAGTCCTTGAAATTTGGATCGTTCAATGTCGGCCGGGATAAGGTATTGAACCTCATTGTTTTAGGAACGGAATACTTATCGGAGCACTTTATCCGGTAGCTCTACCGCACAGTTCAGTATTTCTCTCGGTTTCTCGCCTGGTTTCTCGTCTCTCGGGGTAACAAGGTCGAAGCTGCTCGATGGACAGCTCTCAAGAGTCACCTAGGGATTGTCCGTAAACGTAAGGCTCATCTGTGCCGCATGATCATACTTGACATTTGTACAGTCATGCGACTTGGGAAACCTGTAGAGCACCTCCAAGCCGCATTGCGTGTTGCTTCATCATCGGGTGAAGTTGGTGAACAAGTGACTAGCATCGGCCGGCAGCTTGCCTACTTCGGGTATCTCACATATGACACAGCTCTGTGGGTAAGTAACAAGTGATCCATGAGTAGTTTTACCACTCCTGAAATAATTTGACAGGCGAACGCCGCAAAGTTCATTGCTCTCAAGCCCGGCACTGCTGAGAGGGTCACAAAGACATCCAACAGATTCTGGCTGGCTGGAATCTTATTCAGCATTACGCATGGACTACTGAAGGTGGGACCTATCGCCCAGCTAGGATAGTGATTTTAATTTCCATTTTCCAGGCCGGACGACTCGCTCACGACGCAAAGAAATTGCGTAACTCCGAGACCTGGGGAGAAAAGGATCTCAGCGATGAAGCTCAAAGAGAAGTCAGGCAACTCGCGCTTGAAAAGTACGTTGAAATCATCAGTACTATATCACAAATAGCTCTAAGATTCTCATAGCCTGCGCGCGGACACACGCCACCAATTCATCATCGACCTTTTCGACATTTGGATACCTGCTTCCAACTTGGGTCTCGTCAATGTCAATGACGGGGTTGTTGGCTTTGCTGGGTTAGTTTGGCAGTGGTTTCTTTTACTGTGCTCGCCTGATAGATTATCGTGTTCAGTTTCATTTCCTCTCTCATGGGTCTTCGTGCTCAATGGCTTGCAATCAACAACGGAAAGAAAAACTGAGATTCCCTGTAATAAAACACTGCCTATGCTATTGTCTATACTTCTACTAGTATTCGATATTTCCCGCCCCCGGGTCTGCACGCTCCTCTACTTTTGTTCAATCTATGACTACACCACACATTCGAGCGTCCCCGGGCCATGGACTGATAAAACTGTGGATAGTGTATGATCACTGTGTGTACCTGACGATATGCCTTGCGTTTTCGAAGGCGAAAGACACTATCAAGAAATCCTGTCATCGTTAGAGAGAGGTGCTTGAGGCGCTTTCTGTTGGTCCCTTAATCGAAGATATTCCTTTCGAACATCATCCATGGCTGCTTGACTTGTACTGAAAAACATTCACTCAATGTACCAGACACTGAGTGCGGTAGGACTCACTATTGTAGCATACACTCCTGTAAAGCTTTGTACTTGTCCCTGCAAGCCCATGCCACAGACAACGTACGTCCGGTTGCGCAGTTGGCGAATTCTAAGTGACACGAAGCCGATATAAGTGTTTTTAATCATGCTAGAATGCATGGCCGAACCTTTAACTATCGAGTCACATTCTGTTAACGCGCGCGCTTTAGTGGTTTTAAGGAGCGTGTCCTCCTCCCTTCTGGAAAGCGTGTTCATGAGGACAACCCGACTCTTAATTTTGATCCCGCCAAGCGCTGATAAAATTGCCTTTTTTGTCGATGTGGGCCGCCGCTATTCCGATTCATTACATGACATGCGTTGTCCTCCGTCACGATGTCGGCCCATTTGCTCTTCATAAACTCACTTTTCCGCCCCCGTTCCAGTTGCCGACTTTCGTATCGAGTTCGACACTTGGCAACACCGTCAGCCTCAACGCCGAATTTAAAGTCCAGCTTCCGCGAAACGCTGGTCTCTGGACCATCGCTAGACGACTTCATCTCAGGAGAACCCATAGAACATGTAGTGCTCGGGAACACCAAAGGGTGCGCATAAATTGATATGATTCTCTTGGAATAATACCTATTCTTCCACTACAGGCCTCGGCTGCCCAGCTTTCTAAAGACAAAAATACCCTCGGGAGCATCTTTCAACAAGATCAAGAAGGACTTAAGGGGACTCGGCCTTCATACTGTATGTGAGGAGGCACGATGTCCTAATATCGGTGACTGCTGGGGTGGAAAGGAAGGTGCAACTGCTGAGGAGGGCAAGAGGGCAGCAACGGCTACAATCATGGTGTGCTACGTGATACTGGAATTACTGTCCTTTGACTAATTTTACTTCTTTTAGTTGATGGGAGACACCTGTACGCGTGGTTGTAGATTCTGCTCTGTCAAGACTTCCCGTACTCCACCTCCATTGGATCCTCATGAGCCTGAGAATACGGCAGAGGCCATTAGTCGATGGGGGCTCGGATACATAGTGCTCACTAGTGTTGACAGAGATGGTGCGCTGACTACAAATATAACCAGATCACATACTTATAATTATCCCTACAGACCTTGTAGATGGCGGTGCACATCACTTCGCAGAGACTATTATGAAGATTAAGCAAAAGTACGTTACATACTGACTTCGTTCGCGCCGCTCACTAACAGGATATTTGAAACAGGGCGCCCCATATTCTGGTGGAAGCATTGACAGGAGATTTTGCGGGCAATTTGGAAAATGTTTCTCTCGTAGCGAAGTCCGGCCTAGACGTTTACGCACACAATATCGAGACTGTGGAGGAGTTGACACCCTTTGTACGCGACCGCCGTGCAACTTTCCGACAAAGTCTGAAGGTGCTTGAGCACGCGAAGAAGGAAGGTGTCCGCGTCACCAAGACAAGTATCATGCTTGGTGTCGGCGAGACAGAAGAGCAAGTCATGGATGCGTTACGAGGTAAGCTGAACACATTTATGCCGAGATTATAATTGCTGGATCATGGTTCAGAACTTCGCAAAATTAATGTTGATGTTGTCACCTTTGGGCAATATATGAGGCCCACGAAGCGACACATGAAAGTTGACCGATATGTGGAACCTTCCGAGTTTGACCGATGGAAACAAATAGCTGATGACATGGGTTTCTCCTATGTGGCCAGCGGTCCTCTTGTCCGTAGTAGCTACAAGGTCAGCCATTTATTTATTTATTTCGTTGCGGAGGATTCTTCTCACACATGGTTGCTAGGCTGGCGAATACTTTATAGAGAATATGTTGAAAGGAAAGGCCACAGAGAACAGGGTGACGAATCTCGTTACACAGGAACCGTCAACAAGCCATACCCAGACGACATGATCGTGTCTACAATTTGTCCTACCATTTACTCTTTATCTAATCCACGAGGGGATCTCGTCTACTGTCGTTTCCCAAATGATGTGATCGGATCTTTGTCAATTACTGGCATTTAAGGATCATTCAGCATGCTTGGACCGCAAGCTATAAGAATGATATTTGAGTGACAGGAACTACCTACTGGATTAGCTCAGGATAGGCCTATCCTTGACTCCCTTACCTAGAATTCCCAGTCGAACGTGCAGGTCATGGTAGTGAATGTGTAGATGTATCTACGAGGAATCTACATTCATAAATTCCATTGAGTCTAGAGACAACGATTATTTAGTTGAATAGGTTTTTGAGGTGTACGCTGGTTAGGGGCAAGTATGGACCTTATTCTACTTCCTTTCTCAGTTTGGGATATTATACGCAGGAGTCAATCCTCGGGCTGCTCCACTTCCGGTGGCGAAGTCAAACAGACACAATCCTCGAATGTCGTACTAACATGTACGCAGTTGTCATTGGCATGCGTATCCCAAATGCTGATGATGAGACGTGGCACGATAATAAATGGCGCGGTAAGCTTGAACAATATTACCAGATACAGCACCACCGTCTGTGCATGTCTGCGTTAGAGAATATCTCTGTAGAATCACAGGAAATCATACCGAAGGGCGGGCCCACAATGTCGCCATGAATATTTGAGTTGCCAAATTCCTAGTATGATTCAATGAATGCTTTCAGAGAACACAACAAACGAAGGGAACTTACATGACAAAGTATATGACATGATATTGGATGATCATCACTACGTAGGTGTTAGGCTTCATTTTAAGTTCCTTTCGTTCTTTCAGGTGCTTCCTGAAGACGGTAATGGCGAGAACAACCAAGAAAATATCATAGCATATGACGGGGATGGAAGCGTAGATCATATGCATAGGCCCGATGTGGAAGAAAGTTGTGCAGTACTTGATATTTGGAGTTATTATGATTTCTTGCACTGTACAACCAGGCATCAGCTTGCAAAGAATCCAATTATAATAGAAATTCACCTGAGATCGCTGAAGGCCGGCTCCATAAAAATGCATCCACCGCTATATAGAGCGCGACGATAGGTAGGAGCAACCCCAGTAGAACATAAAGTATGAGCTTTGATTGGTTGTGTAGGGCGTAAAGACGCCAGATGAGAATGACTGCAAATGTAAAAATGGGAAGCGCAAAGGTGCGAGACTGTATGGATATGACATACCTTCCACCAAGCAAAAATATACAGAAAAACCCCATTGCATGAACACGAATATACCATAACCTATTTCAATTTGATGATAAGCAAAGCTAGTTTCAGTTGAATACGATATACTCACAACTAAACAAGAGGTCAGCAGCAGATCAGGCTAGCTGTAAAACGAACTTGTGACGTACGGCTGAATCTGGGTCAACCTAGAACCCTCTAAGGAACGATATACTCACTGCTTCAGGTATATAAAATAGACCTCCCCCTGGTGCTAGTCAATCAATGACGACTCAGGTATCAGGTCACGTACAGACGGCGCAAATCCTAGACGTCAGGGTCAACATCCAACGTGCCATCCGAAGGATACAAGCATCGCGACATACATTGCAAGGACAATACCAAAATATCGAACCTGATATGGCAACGAAATGGGAAACATGAAGCACTTTGGCAGGGTAGAGCTCACAACAAGGTATAGATATGTCATCACTGACCACTGCCTTTGCTGCATAACCAGTCAGTTTTGGACCTTCATATCGTTGGAGTTGAGCTCTAACCCAAACAAACGTGACCTGCGACAGTATTAATCATGAGTACTCGACGATAATGAAACGACCCCCTCCTTACCTCTTTCTCGAACTGAAGCACTAGATAATATTACGCTCAGCCACATTGAAAGCATGGAAGCTACTGACTATAGTCGTAGGATAGCAGGGTGATGGCTACAACTGGAAATGACGAAGTTCAGCACAATGATTCATGTCCAACAAGCTCTGACGAACCCGATATGTTGTTATTCCAGTCAAGAGCATAGAGATATTCTTCTGGTTCCAACATAAAAGTGTGCAGATCAAATGGCAAATTCAAAGAGTGAGGGATGGGCTACTGATGACCAATGTACGATACTTATAGGCATTGGAATCTTGTTGACCTGCAAGGGTTGTGAACTTGTTATGTCCTAATGAAAATTGTACGACATCATGATCGTGTCAATCTTGTGCCGTACTTTTTCATCTAATGTCACGAATGATAATCCGCCACCAATGGAAAGGTCGTAATTGATCACACGGCTGACAACTTGAAGAGTCACCCTGCGTCACCGGTGGTTGTTACCGCTTCTGCGGCTAGATTCTGCCTGTCCGACCCTCTTGTTAGGTAGCGTGGGCAGTGCTCATCTACCCCGGCATGGCTCATGTTGAGGTTGGTGTCCAACTGGCTCCTAAACTGAATCTGGTGGGGGTTGAGTTGTATTTCAGCGTTGTTATCGCCGTCATCAAGACGGCGCCTGCGAGAACGGGTAGGGTTGAATAAACTCTCATAGTGTGGATTTTTTTCGAGGTCAGGCCCTACTATGTCGTCTGTTTGCCTCACAAGCGCCATCTTCTTCAGCATTCTTTTGTGTTGCCTTCCTGCGGTGTGGTCACTGGTGCCATTGGAGAGAATTGGAGAGTGATGTAGACTTACAGTAGAAACTTGAGCAGAAGGTACATCTAAAAATCCAACTTTACGAAAATGTAGTCTAAAACTCGTTGCAAGACTTTTGTGAGAGTTTCCGTTTTAGTTAGACTACAATTCAGTTCTTAAATACCTGGTTTTGGTTATGTGAGGACCCTGACTTAAGTTTTACAAAATTTAGTGCGAGATTTGAAGATGATGTGATATTATCAATGCGATGCGAGATTATCAGTGTGATAAATGCATTATCTAGTAGTACAAAGATTCAAACCATTTGAAACCAGCGTAAAACGTATCTACTAGTGCTGCCGCGGTCCGGTCCAGAACCATGGTTCGAACCGGACTTTTGGTCCGGTTCTCCGCGGTTCGGTCCATGGTTCTCGCGCCAGCCAGAACCGGACCGAAAAACGGTTCTCGGTTCTAGATCTTCCCAAACGGTCCAGTTCTGGTTCGACCTTCCCGAACCATTCCGAACCCCGAACCCATTGTCAACTTCGACTTCGACTTCGTGTGAAAAATTGACGGTCCCACCGGTGGCGTTTGCAGTCCTCGCTTGAGACTGCAAACTTGTCACGTGACGATGACTCAGCCACAGTGCTCGCTTCCTTCCTTGGCTCGATTGCCAATCGCGCTCCACCTGGACCTGGACCACCGACAATCAGCACAATCGGCATCCAAGACCCGTTGGCCAGACGATGGGTCTCGCTGGTGGCGTATATCAGTGAGGTGAGTGTTGTTAGTATGAAGTTCTCGAAGGTATGCTCACCTTTTCTTCATCGTCTGATTGTGCATTCAGGTATGCAGCGCGCTATGTCGAGGCCACGGATCTCCTGGTTCCTATTCATAGGTTCCTAAATGTGCTGCCAGGTTCAGGTGCGCTGGAGAAGCTCATGAGTGCTCCATTGATGGTGATAGGTATGTGCCATCTTTGCCTGGCCCTCGAGACTCACCAAATCCCTGCACCAGGTACCAACATGCTCCGTTCATAGTTACAGGTGTGCTGGAGAAGCTCATGAGCGCTCCGTTCATGATTATAGGTACGTGCCATCTCTGTCCAGCCCTCGAGACTCACCAAATCCCTGCACCAGGTACCAACATGCTCTGTTAATGGTTACAGGTGCGCTGGAGAAGCTCATGAGCGCTCCGTTCATGATTATAGGTATGTGCTGTCTCTGTCCGGCCCCCGAGACTCACCAAATCCCTGCACCAGGTACCGATGTGCTCTGTTAATGGTTACAGGTGCGCTGGAGAAGCTCTTGAGCGCTCTGTTCATGGGTTGGAGACAAGACAATTAGATTATGTAGTGCATACTTGTGTGTACAGTGATAGATTAGAAGAGAATGTATGGTTTATAATCATAAACTATTGGACAAATGCCCGAGCGAGATTGAAGTTACCTGTAGAAACAGCTAGGTAGGGATATAGTGGTAGACAGTGCAAATTTGATGGTGTGCCGCTGCATGGATGGGATATGTAGTAAGTGACGAGTCCAGGGGGATATGATAAAGAAACGTGCTCCTGAGTGCTCTTGAATGGCACTCGTTGTATACAATTTGACAGTCGAATCTATTGAAAATGTCGAGCTTAAAAAGAGTCAGCAGGGCATGCGAAAGAGAACATGAGAGATCTTACTTGCACAGGACAGTCTGAGCACCAAAAACAAATGAGTCACTGTCATCTGTCATGACAGCATCAATAATACCGGCACCATTCATCAGTGCCAGCTGTGTCTCAGCTTCTCTGGCAGTCTGGATAGCCAGGATTGATATAGATGACAACGAAAAAAAAAGAAAAAACTCACCATGATCCACTGCACGTTGAATGCATTCAGTAGGCGCTGGGTGGGCTTGACCATCCAATGGTCGTTGGTAGACACTCTGTGGCCCCATTTGATTTCAAAAATGTTCGAAGGGCGGGATTCTGGCCTGTCTGAGCATGTGCACGGTGCCACCTGCCCTGCTGGCATTGTTCGAACCACGCACTAGAATCAAGAAATGAGAATGTGAGAATGTTTGCCATCGAACACAGCGAGCAAACACAAACCTTGCATCCACGCCTACAATATAAGGCGAGTGAGGGGCAGGTCCCTCATATCGGCCCCGGATGGCGAGAGAGATGAGGGGCACCGTCGTTGCGGCAGGCTCGAGCACCTGACAAATGATGGGGTGAGTTTCAGCACCTGCCGAGTGAACAGTGGGAATGTGCCTCCCACAGGTCGTTGATGCCCATGACGATGAGGACGCTGGAAGTATAATTTGAGATCAGTAGGCTGACAAGCACAGCCGCTATGCGTGGAGGAGACGGGAGTCGAACGAGAAGAGGAGGTACTCACTAGTACTAGTAGCGTATGTGTGCATACATAAGCGGTGGCAGTACCATGTATGGTATAGCAGCCAGCCGGGACTGTAAATCCGAGGACCGTCAATCTGCAGCACATCAGCATGCAGTGCGTTTTTTTGGCGGGAGGGAAGGATGCGTCGCCACCAAGACCGAAGCTGGGTGTAAACGAAAAATTGACGGTCCTAATGTGCGAAATTTGCAGTCTCTCGGTTAGCGTCTCGGCATTCTCCCACAGGTGGTTTGCATTGTGCTCACCCAGGACCCTCCACCCCATCCAGCAGCCATCTGGAGCTCTCTCGCAGCTCAAAAACGTCGATTTTCGCTGCCTATGGCATCCATAGCCCGTACGGTGCCCTCCCATGCGTTTTCCGAGCCTATCTGCGGTTCGAAATGTTGCTGTCTGGGGTCGCGTCTTTTTCGACGTCGCGGTTCACGTGCCGTGGTGGCGGTGCTCGCTTGGGTAAGCCTGTGCTGGACCATCAATTTCACCGTGGTCAGCTCTACTTCGACTTCAACTATGACAACGTCAGTCTCTATGTCGACGTCAAAGTGTCGTCTTCAGGAGTTGCACTATTGGTTAATTAGGCTACTTTTAGCCTTTTTGAAGGTTAGTACTAATCAATCAACTCTCAAGACTCTGTCCTCAAGGTAGTTATTTGTATATCTGTTTTCATTTTATTTACTGATTGAGTTGACTGTGCCGCCACCACCACCACCACTTGCTGCAACCACTACCCCACTCCAGCAACAACCAGTGTCTAGCCCATGTGCCCAGCACACGCCAGCAAATGCTGGTGTGGCTAAGGCGAATGCGGACGACACTTTGGTGAAGGAGAAAGGAAGACGCTGGGGGAAAGAGAAAGGAGAAGAGGAATGGGAGAAAGAAAGTTGTCGAGGAGACGAACAAGGTGCGCTGCCCACTCCCAACATACCTCAATGACCTCTCACATCTGGCTCGTGATATTCTCGCTATTCCAGGCTCAGCTGTTGCTGTCAAACACATTTTTTCCAGTGGCCGTGATACTACCTTTCTTCGGCATGCTAGCTGTATCTCGCCCACCGTCTCTCACCCTGCTGTCTCTCACCCGCCGCCTCTCACTCGAGACGCGCAGGTGTTTTCTCCCTGTTCTGTGTATAAAAAAAGGTGACGGCAACATCTGAGAATGGAGGCGCGACTCAAACCGCACATACCTCTCTCATTGTCCTGAATGTCTTCCTTCGCTGACGACGGAGGTAAAATGATTTCAATTCTAACAAACACTCTCACTGATGCGTGCCTTACAAGGCAGCTTACTTCAAATTGCTTGTCTGGATCAGACGCCGCAGGTTCACATTACCCACTAACATCGATGGTAAGCATTGGTTGTTATTGTGTTTTATTTCATTCTCACCATTTGTATAGATCGAATCAGTTAGCTCTTGGATCAGTGGCTACAGAGGCATAGAGTCATATGTAGCCATGTCATTGGAGTAGCTACTTGATGTGTAAACTAGTCTTCCAATGATTTTTTTTTCATGCTCACCACTGAAAATTTTCGGGTTTGGTTCGAGTTCAGACCAGAAAAAAACCGAACCGGACCACAGAGAACCGTTCTCTGTGGTCCGGTTCGGGGTTCGAAGATTTTGCAGAACCGGACCACAGTCCGGTTCTCGGTTCTCGTCCAGGACCCTCTGAACCGGACCGAACTGGACCATGGCAGCACTAGTATCTACGAGGACGGTGCTTGCGTCGGTCCAACCAGCAACACACACTGCAAAAACCTACGAAATTCTGCCTTCTCGTCGTCTGTCAAGTCTAGTGATGTTCTGGCCCGGCTTCAAGCCCTGGGCCAGCCAAAGCCAGGCCTGAATAAGCCGAGCCAAGCCCAGGCCCAGGTCACGGCCTGCCCAAGGCCTGGGCCTGGGCTTCAATTTTGGAAAGCCTAAGCCGGCGGCTCAAGCCACGGCTTGGCACTTGCTACTGCAATGCGGATGGACGAGGAAATTTGAGGCTGCTGATCACGAAAAGGTGTGTTATTCAAGTTGTTTTTCTGCATTCTGAGGACAGCTTCGTGATCAGGAGTTGAACTGCCTGACACTCAACTTAATCGTCACGATATGCACTGAGTCCATAAGCTTCGTACACGGTATCTCATTGCGCTCTGCGCTAGCCTCAGAGTCTCGGCTTCATTTCAATACCAATCTGCGCCTTGCTTAATGGTGTCTCGGTTATCCTCTTCATTATATCCTACAACTCAGCCTCATTCGTCATATGTGTCGACCTTCAAACAACGTCATACACATGTGGAGCAGGGTATTGCTTACCTCTCCTCTTTTTAGGCGTCGCACTCCTCCAGGTGATGATCGCATTGTCAGGGATGCAGGCTATCAAAATATTGACGTGGAGCTCCTCATCTTTCGACTTGACCGCTGCACTTGTCCACCACATGCAAATGACCCCTGCTACTTTGTGGTACATGCATCGTGTGCCTGACCTAGACATGGATGGAGGTCCAGCGAAGCCACCAGAGACACTGCCCTCTGCATGGCATGTTCACCCTAGCATCCGGAAAGTTGTCATTTCTCTTTAGGTGATCGTTGGGCCCAAGCCGCGGCTTTGGGCTGGCTTGGGCTCACGGCTCAGGCTTGAAATCTGGCGAGCCTAAGCTGGGGCTTTGAGCCCAAGCCGGGCCGGAACATCACTAGTCAAGTCATCCATCGCTTTCACAATAGCAAGAAACTTCCAGTTGCCTGACATCCCCCCGAAGGGATCCATCTGCACATGAATCTCGTATTGCTCATCCAAGCTGCAGAAAGTAGCAGCGCACATTTTGAGTACCCACCTGCAAAGATTGATATGTGGAGGGATGAGCTTTGAAGATTTAGCCTGAGTTGTTGGACTAGCAATATCTCAGCCAATCCTGGATCATTTTGCGTAAACTTTTTTTTGTTTTTGTCGCAAAATGAAGGGCTACCATCCCAGATACTCAAAACCCGCCAAAAACCCGGGGGTATACCCATGCAGTTCCCTACCGGAGAGTGCCCAGATATATTTCAACCTTTCCAGTTGTTCTTCCTCCGTCTCGCTGAGGAATTCTTGGCACAAGCCGAACCAAATGAATCAAATGACATTGGCCATTATAAACGGATTCTGGAATTTTGCCTTGATTTGGATTCTACTGTCCTGAAAAGATTAAGTTTAGTCTTCAACAACAGGTAAAAATGAAACTGTACCTGGTTGAACGTGTAAATGTGCATGAACATGAGTCCATCGCCCTCCATCATGATCTTGTCGACCACTCATTTATGATAGACAAGTCACAACAGGGGGCGTGGTACTGTGTAATGGGGGAAACAGTCAATATGCGTGGAAGGCACCCATACACGCAAACTCGACTACTTTCCTGTGGGTCACTGACAATGCGTTTGCGACCTCACCCCAACATTTACTGGTGATAAAGTTTGTGACCATTGCTAAAAGAATGCGTAAGTACGATGCTAACAATCCATGCATAAAACTTACCGTTAGGACCGAAGCATTGTGGCAACGAGTCCTGAATAACCTTTGTCAGCATAGCTTTTTTCGGGGCTTTGTCGACGGTCATTGCATTCAGGCTAAATAGTTTGTGCATGACGAGTTTCATCGCGCCCTTCATTGTCTGGTTAATGGTGGCGTCAGGGACTATTATAGTGGGAGTGGGATCAGTATATGTTGACAACGTCGCAATCTGCGACATCGAGCTTTCAATTGTGGATGGGATCTGTGGGCGGGTTGTCGGGTAGGGAGCCATCTGTGGTGTTGGTGGCATCGGCTGTTGACTCCCTCATTTCTTTGTGAGTCTTGCCGGGCCCGCCGTCTAGATGAAAGGAATAGTATGAGTATTAAATAGATCCAAGAATAAATAACTTACATGCATGATGTCTGTTTGAGGGATCTCACCTTGTTGGATGAGCATTGTGTCCGACATACTTGTGCTGGCTGTGCTACCTGTAGCACCCTGGAATGAGTAGTGTTTGTCGGGATATGAGCCCTGTGGGGGCACTTCAAAGGATGGTTGATTCTGAAAGAAGTCCCAGGAGGATTGATTGTCGAAGCTGGGGCTCTGCGTGCCACTGTAAGAATGGCCATGTTGGGCTGTAGAACGTTGAGCTTTGAGTGACGAAAAACATAAGGAACTTATGGGTGGTCTCATGTGCATCGAAACCGAAATAAGACATCTGCAGTTGTTCTGTAGGAATGCGAAGCTGATTGATTGCTGGTTCACCCGAAGGATTGAGGCCAGAGCCTCGTGGTGGTTTTGGGACTTTGGCTTTACTTTTTTGCTGGGGACCACGACTGCTAGGCATTCAAGGTTGGGGGTAAGGATGTGAGAACATATGCATGCATTTAACTTGCGAATCGATGTAATAGTACATACGAGGGTACTTTACATGATCTTTACAAAACTGGGAACATGTGGCAGGCTGATAAGGTGATTTACGAACAAGGCAAAACACTTACTACCAAAGAAAAAGAGGGTAGGGGCGTGGCATGATAAGACGATCTATGAACGGGAGAAAAAGATTTATGAATGGCCGGGGCGGGCGAAGCACCATATTGAACGGTCGAAGCGTGTTTATGAACAGTCAAAGCCGGTTATGAGCAGGTGGAAAATGGGCGAAGCAAAGCGGTACCAGTTGATAGCAATCTATGAACAGTGACACAAATCAATTGATTGTCACTGATATTGATCAGTGTGAGCAGCGTGAATGAGTTGGCAGTCACATACCACATGGGCAGTCACAACTGCATGCCGAACAGGCGCTGCGGGCCTGGCTGCCCACCATGATCATCATCATCTTTGCCGTGATCAGAATCAAAATCAGAATTAGAGTCCATATCAGTACCGGCATCCATGCAACCACCCCCCAGTGCATGTGTAATGCTGTCCCTATTTTTCAAAGTACCAACAAAACGAGGTAGGTAGGGACCCTCGCCAGTAGATGCCAGTAATTCACGCCTGGCACCTGGACCCAGGCATCTTGAGACCAAGTCTGCTTGGGTAGTGATGGCGCGAAGCATTTCGCACTCATCGTCATAGATGGCTTGAGGGTAATTTGTGTCATCATCAATTTCTGTGTGATGGCGCTCAGAAAAGAAATTTCTGATCTTCTTCAGCTGTTCATCCTTGATATTGAGGCGGGCTCTGTTCTCCTTGTGGAGCGCCTGATTTAAGGCTGTCATATGCTCTGCACACTCAACCTGCCATAGGGATGTTTCCACTTGAAGGCGAGTAACCTCATGGCTAGCAAGTACTGCCTTAAAGACTTTGTACAACGTATCAACGTTCATCTGTGAGAGGCCATTAGATATCACATCCTCGTGTTTTTAAATGTATCATGTAAGAACAGTTTGGAACAAAGAAAATGACAAATACCTCTTGAAGTTGTTCAGTGGTAAAGTCTGGTTCACGTCCTCGTCCTGTGATGCGGGTTGTCAAACGAATATCGAGTGGAAGTTGCCTAGAAGGGTATGGAATAGGCCTCTTGGATAATCTCTCACGCAAGTGTGCTGCATGGGAAGGTGACTTTGGTGATTGTAAGAGGTCAGGCTTATACAATAAGCTCTCCTTTACATCGGGAAGGTATGGGATCTCTTCCACTGGGGATAGGTAAACCTTTGGAGAACCTGAAAGGGAGGGGGATAGCTTGGGAGAAAATGAACAGTCAGAGCCAGATAAGAGCTCAGTAGCCATTGTATGGGGTGACTCAGGGTAGTTAACCTTCTTGAGGAATTTCAAGGGAGTTAATTCAACACACGTTGCACTACTTGACGTAGTACTGGTAAAAGCAGGACTGCTTGGTTGAGGAGGAGATGAGACTGGTGATGAAGATGCAAACTCCATTGGCTTGGCGCAATGACTGTGCGCTGTGAAATGTGAGGTCCTCGGAGTTTGAATTTTAGCCTTGTGCAATCCTGCAAGTCTGCCAACGTCTGGCACACTTGAGTCAAAGCCAAGTCTACGCTATAATGTAAGTACTCCCATTGCTCACTTCATGATACCGCACATACCTTTGGCAGGCTATGTCCCAACTGCAAATTGGGGGAATATTCATCCATTGAGGCGCTTATTTCACATCTCAATGCTCTGTCTACTTGCTGGCCTTCCGATACACAACCACAAGCTTTACCTGTCCCTTCTATATTCAATCAAGGTGGTCAGACACCCGTCACTGGTACCTGCCACCCAAAATCCGGATATGTCTATGGGATCGGTAAAAACATGCTGGATAAGTTGGAAGATAATCAATTTGCGCATCGGCGGTCGATAAATGCTTATTACCCTTTCACTGACCAAGGTGAATGGGAATTAGGGAAATTCTTGGTTGAAAACCTTACCCAAACCCAAATTACGAAGTTCTTGAAGTTGAAATGGGTAATGAGGAACAACGATCTAAGCTGTACTCCCTACTCTGATCTTGATTTCACAGTTTGACGCTCCAAATCATGCAAGACCATCTTTTACCACAAAGGATCACCTCCTAGACTAGATGGACTCACTCCCTTCTTTTACCCCATGGAAAGTCTCCAAGTTAGAGTTCAAAGGCTATAAGACTGTCCATCCCGTGGAGCTCATTTGGCGTGATGCACTGCAGGTCGTCCAGCAACTCTTTAGTGACCCAATGTTTGCTAACCACATGACCTTTAACCCCTACATCGCCAACGTCAAAAATCAGCACGAATATGGGGATTACATGAGTGCCAATATGGCATGGAAAATCCAGGTTTTTTGCCCTGTTAATCTACGCCTCACTGAGTAATAGACTGATTTCTTTATTTCTAGGACTATCTCCCGTTGGGTGCAACTCAAGTCCCAATTATCTTGGGATCGGATAAAACTCCTGTGACGCGACTTGCCAGGGGAATCGAGATGCACCTGGTCTTCATCACCATCAGTAATATTGATTCTGAGGTCCGTCCCAAGGCAACATTACGAGCTTGGCGCTGCATAGCCTACATTCCCATTGTAAAGTTCCGCATTCATCAAGAATACCAGTCCATTCTCCAGGCCAGACTATGGCATAAATGCATGGACCTCATTTTTGCAAACCTCAAGGTCGCAGCAAACAACGGCTGTTTTATGCCCGATCCCTCCCACTACATTCACCATGTATTCACGCCACTTGTCACTCATATGTGCAACCTGCCAGAGGCTACTATGATCGCTGCAGTCAGTAAAAACTCGTCCCCACTAACCATGGCAATACAAGCAGATTTCAGTGATGGAATTCTCAACCCCCCTCATACCGGGAACCACACATTGGAACTCATTGTGGGGATATCCCAAAATGTTGATCCCTGGGATCTGGACAAGTCCCAGAAAGCGGCCAAAGCCGTCAATTTGTCTGGTGTTCACATGCTGTACTGGCATGATTGGAAGTTTGCATGTCCGTCAGTCTTCCTTGCTAGTGCATTGGATGTCTCTATGCTCCCGGCCTGTCATTTGATTAACATGCATGATGCCTTTCGTGAAATGGCACGTTCCGACCCGCTTATGCTGGACCATGAAGCAAGTATCGAGCTCATAATCTCCTAGAGCCTCTTTGATCCATTTTAGTGGATGATCTGCAAAAAACTTATGACAGGTGTGCAGCACCTCGCCATCATTGCGTCAATTGCAGGGGCCGTTCCACACAGATTCGTCCATGCAATCTGTTCACTCGTGGACTTCTTTTACCTCGCACAGAATCCAGTTCACTCACCTCAATCTCTTCAGTCATTGGTGCAGGCGCTTTCAGATCTCCACTCTTTCAAGGATGCTATCGTCCAGGCTGAGGCAAGGAAGGGGAAGAAGGGTATCAAAGAAGATTTTTTCATCCTGAAACTTGAGCTTCTCCAAAGCTTTGATGGTACAATTAGGAAATTGGGGACTTTGATGCAGTTCTCTGCAGACGTGACAGAGCGGTTGCTCATCACACATTGTAAGAACCTTTTCCTGTGGACGTCCCGGCAAATCAAGGATTTTATGGAGCAATGTGTGCACATTCTCAACCGCCAAGAGTCTATGGAAATTTTTGACCTGTACATGCTATTGACTTCTCGTGGGGCATCACTGGTTAATGCCATACATGCCGAAGATGAAGATGTCACTATTGCCAATCCTGCACTCTCCTGGGTTTCCTGAGTTCTCCCTGACGAAGTCAAGTCAATTCATGGTCCCCGACCTGTCCGTAATCACTTTCTCAAGGGTATCCTCTCCGGAGATGCACTCACCACTTTTCAACTCAATGTCACGCCCGATTACAAATCGCTGTCACTGTTTGACATACGCACGAAATATGCACTCCTGGACTTCAATCGTGCGCTTGCTGACTTCATTTGTCGTTCATCCCTTGCCAGCGGTGAACAGTCCTGCTTGGACCCCAAATCCGGATGCTTCCATGTATGGCACAAGTTCAGATTGCAGCTTCACTCAGCCTTCCAGCCACGCATCATCATGCCGAGCCGAGTGGTGCAAGCATACCCCCCAAGCGATAATTTTCCCTTGGGAAATTGCAATACTGTTCTCATTGATGCTATGGGTATTGACGGCAAAATGAGCAAGTCTATTCCATGTGCTTATGTTCTAACCCTACTAATGTCATATACAGCGAATTACATTGCACAAGTGCGACTCATTTTTCAACCGACAATCCGACGAGGTTCCAAGTTGGAACTGCCATCTTACCTCTCTGACCCACTTCTCTACGTCCAATTTTTCTGCTTCATTTCTAGTCCTGATGATTGCCCTGAACTCGCAATGTGGACTTTCGAGCGTGCGTACATGCAGGATGAAAATGGTAACCGCCATAGGGAGGGGGCTGTCATACGAGTGACAGATGTGACAGATGCAGTTGAATTGATGGTGAGGCAGTGGCTAATGGTATGTCCTCTGCGACTTGCTTGGAAAGCTACGAGCATTTCTTTTTGAATAACTTCGCGGACAAGGAGAGTTATCACACATTCAGTACCGAGTTTGTGTAGACAGTAGCTCAATCAGTACGCAGCAATTGTATCCATTGCTATCAGCATCTATCATATCACAAATCACATCTTATCAACAGAAAAACAACTGGCTTGAGTTTTATCAGCCAGATATGGTGTGTTATATTGGTGTTCAGCATCTCCACCAATTGCCTGAGTGCGCTACTGAAGTCATAAGTGTTCATAAGTGTCTGTAATGCGTGTAAGTTAAGCGTTCATTTCAGTCGTTTTGCAGATGTAGTTGCCGTGTGTCATGGTGCCAAGGAGGAGATTGAATTCTTTGTACATCTCCCCTGTCCGGTGTCATGCTTTCAAGTTGCCACCTGTTTTAGCTGTTGAGATAGGTGCCGAGATGAGAGGTACAAACGCAGACTTGATTCGGCAATTCCCATGCTGTGTGATCTGCACTACACCACCAGCTGCTGCTTTAGGCCGTAGCGATATACTGAGAAAACTATTTACAACACCCGGCAACCACGCAGATACAAGGTTGAATATAGATATGGTACAAAAATAAATAAATAATGCTGTAAAGCTTAAGAGTCTGTTCGGGCACCCTTGTTTGTGCAAATTAGGATTTGAATCATGCAAAATTTTGACTTAGGTGATGGCTGGTCACAATGTGACATACATAGATCAATCGCAATTGCTGGCATGCCTGTTACTCAACAACAGTCCATCCATCTACGTAACTCTCACAGGATGTCACGTGGTTGCAAAAGTGCTTGTGGTGGTTCAGAAGCAACAGAATCAAGGGATCGATGTACATGGACTGAAGCAGATGAAACTATACTCATCCAGTATATCACTGCCAACCGCCCCAAAGGTGAGGATGGCATGAACTTTGACAAGACATTCTGGGTCTCTATTGCTGATAGCATGGCAAAACATGCCTGCTCAGGTGCACCCAAGACACCGGCTGCATGTCAATCAAAATGGACACGGGTGCGTGCTATATCACTCTCAATCAGTTGAACCTTCACTGATGAGCTTCTAGCTCTGAAGTCTATTTGATGTAGTCCACAAAGTGGCCAATGCATCTGGATTGTCTTATAGCTTGGAGCATGGAGCCGCAATTACTGCAGAGTCGGAAAGTATGTGGGCAGACTTTGTCAAGGTATGGCGACTCAACTCTGCACAACGCTATGCTAATGAGTACTATGTACCAATAGAAAAATCCGAAAGCCAAAACTCTTAACTTGAAGGACAAAGGTTGGAAGCACTACGACTCGTTGAAAGGTCTCATACCTGTCAAGACTGCGAACAACAATTCCTTTTTTGCCACCAGCATCACACAGCGCTCTAACTTGAACATTCCGTCAAACTCTAATGACAATGCAGTTGCCTCCTCTTCCTTTGATGAAGTTCACATGTCAGATCTTGGAGATGCCCTTGATGGGCTCAAGTTTAGCCCCATGGTGCAGGCTGGTCCTGAGCGTGCGACTGTTGACTCAGTTCCCAAAATGGTGACCTGCACCAAACTGGTTCGGTGCATGGACCAGTAATACTTTCCTATGAGTTTTATACCTCAGAAATCACTATGAACATTTTTTTCTCTTGATCTGAAGTCACACTGAGGCTCAGGGAATATTTTTCGCATTTTTTTTTCATTATATGAGTTTGTACGCGAGCGGACTGAATATTTTTGTACATTTAATTCTGCAATGAGTTTTGCTTAGTCAGCCATGAAGATGACTCAGAAGGATTCTCACACATATCAGGTGACTGTGAAAAATATGTTCACATAAGGTTACCCTGTGGGAAAGCTTACAAATCGCTAAACACGCACCCTATGTCATTATGCTACCAAATAATTTATCAGCCACAGATGTCAAACATCTATCCACACATTATGTAATCATTTCTCACTCTTTTCTAGCTGAGTCATCAAGGGATCACCTGACCCATGGGCCATGCACAGCTCTTGCTGACTCATCATTATACCAACTAGAGTTATGAATATTTACTTTTGGCTCAAAGATACTGTGTAACTTGGTACTATCAAACTAAAGTTACAACTTTAAGTGTGAGAAACTAGTAGTATAGCCACCTAATTTGTCTATATAAGGAGCTGCTTTTTGCCCAATAAAAAAAAAAGTCCCCCACTGTTTTACCCTCTCAGAATAAAATTGTGAGTGAAGTGTGAATCAGCATTCAGCAAGTGCAGATCAAGGTTGGAGCTCACTGTGCTCAACAACCAGCACCACACATCTGAGCTCACTGTGCTGAACATCTAGCACATACCTTGAGCTCACTGTGTCTGACGACTAGCAAGACTAGTTTTTCTTTTTCTGTTTTTCTTCTGATCATCTGTCTGAATTTCTTTGTTTTTTTGTGTGTCTTTATCTGTGTCTCTCTCTGTGATTGTGTGTCTGTGTGTTTTGTTTTTCTCTCTCTGTTTCTCTGAGATTGTATCTGAGATTCGTGACTGAAACTTGTGTTTCTGTTTCTTTGTCTCTTTCTCTCTCTGTCTCAAGTGTGTGTGTGTGGTGTGTTGGTGACTAACTGTGTTGATCATCTCTTTGATCGCTGTATCTGTGTGTTGTGATCATTGTTGCTAACAGTCTTCGAGATCGTGTTAGTATTTCTGTTGTAGTGGTCTTGTTTTGTTGTTTGTCTTGACCTATCAACTTTCTCTCAAGTACCAAAGTTTCAGTCTCATTCTTACCCAGAAGTTTGGTGTTGTCTCTTTTGTCCACTGAAGACTTAGGATAGTCTTGTTGGGAGACTTTAGGTGTTGACGGTGATACCTGACCTCATACATCTGTGTGTCATACCGGTCAAAAGTAGTCATTGCGAGTTAGACTTTAGCTATTGAAAGGGGACTTGGTATTGAAGTCCAAGGTCGCCCGTTCCTGAGTCTGTTTGAATACTCATTGTGAGTTCCTTGACAGCAGGTTCAATATTAGGCTAAGAGTGCTACAGAGGCTTGACTAGGTCTGACGGTAGTTTCACCTGTTTTTGTAACTGAGGGGGACTCTCATTGTAACACCACACAACTTGCTGCACTAAGTTTGTGTACGAATCCTTGTTGCTGTGTGAAGTGTTAGGAAGAGTATCTGTCTGTTTGTTTTGTGTCATCTCTACATTGTTGGAGTGACTGTGTTTCCTGAAACTTTTTGTTGTTTTTGTTGTTTTGTTTGTTGTTGTTGTTGTTGATCGCTGACTGACTGGTTCTTTGTTTCTCTGATCGCTGTGTTTCATATCCATACTGTTGGATCGATTGTTGATTACTGACTCTTGTTCATTGTGCTGACTGTACTTTAGGAGCATAAGAAAGCCACCCACGAACGACCACATTATCAGTCATTGGTATTTGTCTGAATCGCTGACCATGGAGATATTTGGTTTTATAGGTGTTTATCTATAGATCATCTATCTAAGAAGACAATGGGCCCCACCTGTGATGCCAATGCCACAGGGCCCTCAATTTTTGTGCTTCGCAACAACTCCCGCTTGATCCATCCATCTTCCCTAGTGCACCATTGTCGACTGCTTCTGGCAAATGAAAAACTATCGATGACAATGATAGCACACTTGCTGTTGTCCGTCCTGCATACTCAAAAAAATCAGGAGACTTGGGGAAATCTGCATGCCTGTCAATGCCATTGGCCCTCCAGCAGATGGGGTCTGATATTTGTGGCCTCAATTCATCATTCGAGCATGTGACTAATGCTTTCGGGGCTAATGCCTCAAATACCTCAGCACAATGTGTGGATCCTATCCCCTTGCATAGGCAGAAGGCAGTGGCACAATTACAGAATGAGGACTTGGAGGACTATCAGTTGCTCAATGTATTGAATAAATTTCAGAGTGACATCACCATCATTGACATCTATCTTGCTATCGAAAAACCTAGTCTTAGAAAGTTGTTTTTAGACCAGCACTCAAAGTAGTAGCACCCCAATACTAGCATTCAAATAGCTCAATGTAATATCACTGTGTTTCGAAATACAACTATGATAATGTTTCTGTAATTGCTTGCACCCCCCTCTGAATTCTTTCCTTGTTGTAATCTTCCCAAATCTCGCCAGCAATCCTGTCATGACGAAGGTTTGCATGAGAATGTGCTTGTTCAGTAGAAGGACTATCAGCAAGGCTTCCAGTATCAGTAAGGAGGTGCTCATGTAACATGTTGCGATACTCCATCATGTCATTTGGATCGTGAACTTGGATGATGTTATGCACGAAGCACAATGCAGGAGGGATGCATACTTGGATTCCCATGGCATACTCTGGTGGAAGGAGGAGAATACAGGACTGGTGCTTGACAACACCGAAAATGCGCTCAACAATGTTTCGGAGCATGGCGTGACATAGATTAAATAGCTCTTTGCGGTTGTGAGGTCTATATAACAATGTGAACATAAATATACATACTGACACTCGCGGAATGCACTTACAAAACATTGGCCCGACCCCATTCTGTGAGATGGTAGCGCACACCCTGATATGGGACTAGTAGCTCATCACATGAACCAAATCCAGCGTCTGTGAGGTAATATTTCCCCTCAGGGATGGTGAAGTCAGTAGTGTGGGCATCATGATAGAGACAGGCATCTGAGGCTGATCCTCCCCAACCACTCAGCATGTAGGTGAAGGATAAATTGAAGGAACATGCAGCAAGGCAGTTTTGGGAGAAATTGCCCTTGTGGTCCCGGGCAGTGTGGCAATCCTCACTCAAAGGATGGCACACAATGTGCATACCATCAATAGCACCGATAGCATGTGCAAAGAATGGGAAGAACTTTGGGTTTCAAATGATTTCAACAGGAGGAGGGCTATCAGTGTCAGGTAGTCAGACATATGTGGTATATATTGGTGGGGAAGAGAATGCAAAAAGAATCTGTTTGAAATATCTCGAAAAAAAATTGTGTTCTAAGTACTAGTGAGTAGCAGGAAAGCGGCAGTGTACGTACTTGGATATTGTCTCATTTGATCGCTGAAAGTGTTCACCAAGATGGCGAATTGAGAGACCGGTAACAGATGCATACAGGAATATAGCGAGTTGCTCCTCCAGCAGCACATGCTTCGAGTCTCTGCATCCTGCTTGTCGAAGTAGATTGATAAGGACATAAAAAACATGCTTGCGAACTCCAAGCTTGCATCTGATGCGCTCTGGGTGTCCAGTGAGTAGCTCAGTGACCCATGCAGTGCCTGATAATGTGGAAGTATGATATGGCTGTTTGTTGTAGTGGGTATTGGAATAGGCTTCGAGTGCGGTTGTTGTTGTGTTGACCACTGTGATCACCATGCGCAGAGCTTGCTTAGTGGCATACATGATCCATGATAGGTACCTTTGGACATCCCCCTCCGCATTACCAGACTCATCATCCGGTATATCCTCTGCCTCGGTCTGAGTAGGGTCATAGTCAACTGAGTTGGTGTCTGTGTCGCAATCAGGCATTGTACTGGTAGTATGCTAGTAGTAGGTGTTATCAGTGTGACATCTCATTCAAGTTCCAATCATCACCTAAACCAAAATTTTGCATGATTCAAATCCTAATTTGCGCAAACAAGGGTGCCCGAACAGACTCTAATAGATCAGATCTTTACCAAAAGTTTTTTTCTCAACCTGCGCAACAGATTGGTTACAGCTCAAATTTGGTCCGATCCAGGGCTAGTTCATAGGTCTAAGCATCAGACCTATGGTATACCTATGAAAAAGCTTGTGTGAACATCCTAGCTAGAATTTCATAATGAAGTCAAGGTAGCTTGTTAGTATTCACTATGTGTATCCTATACAAAATACACCAAGTTCTATTTCCCTGAGCATACTAAAGGCAAATACATCATATAGAACTTGAATTTTTGAAAAACTGCTTTGTGTATGGTAGATGTTACACTGATCAAGATGCCTGTGCTGCGAGACTTAGCGAAATTTATGAAGAGATGACCTAGAGGTGATGATATACTGTTAGCAACATCAGATATATAAGCCCTGATAGCTTAACGGTATAACTTTGTTGTGAACTCACAATGCTCCAAGTGGAATGTGTGAGTTTGAACCTGCTGTATTTCATTTTAAATTTTTGTTTGCTTTTTTCAGAACACTGCTATATATCTTGTATAGGCTGCTTCCCAGCTCTTGAATAGCTTGAAACCAAATCTCTCACACAGGTGGTGAGAAAATTATATTATAAATATATCTCAGGGCTCATTGACACCTTGATCATTTTGGGGCTCTACAATAGGTTTTTGGCAGTTGACCATGTATACACCCAGAGTTTGTTAGCATCAATCTGACCCCCAAAAGTACTGGTTGTCTCTGGTTGACCTCCAAAATGGGTCTCTCCAGAGGTTTTTTGTCAATGTAGTTTCAACCTTCGAGAGTGATGTTGATAATGCCTAAATACCAGAGACCATACAAACATCACAAATGTTATTGATTCAATATACTAGTGATGTTAACTACTCTCATCTTCCTCCACCAACTCAAGCAGCCATTTTTATATTTCTGTTGTCACTTCCATACTCACTTTTACCTGTCTTGATGATGCCGTTATAAAAGAAAGATATGGGCTGGACAAGTACAGGGGAGCAGTATGTTCAGCCCAAGGACTTCTGATGAGGCCAGAGCTCAGGAGGAAAGTGAAAGTGATGCAAACACAGCAAATAGTAATTCCTGGACAGCAGGTAGGAAGTGGAGAATCTAATACCAGGAGCTTTCGACAAAACTACAGCCTGTAACTATCTATCGGAGGTATCAGGCATACTGGAATAGCAAAACAGTGAGTATTCAGTAGAAACTGTGTGGGGTTTGGAGTGCAGGTGTCAGGATACTAGGTGAAGGAAAACATTCTTAGGTAAGTGGTAAAAGTGTGAACCTATTGTGAGGAAAATGACTGTAAATAAAGGTGTAACAAAATAGGCCAATATGAGCTCAGCCAGAGGCTGAGTGCTATACCATTAACATATACACCTTCATAGCAGTGGGACTATATACTGAATGTCTCCTTGATTTGCTTGTGTCTCCTTATGCTTGTTGTTCTCCTTCATCCAAAGAGTGATTAAATTTTTTCTTTTTTTGGAGAAGCGAGTTTATTACACAGCAACTGACACTGTCTAGCCCTATGTAAACACTTATATCAACTTCTACATAGTAGATGTTGTCTGAGGAAAAATGCTACTTATGCACACTTCACGTATGTGAAATAGTGTGGGACTCTAAGAACTCCCTGGTTGCCATGGTCTGTGAGGGCCTGGGTAGTTTGATACCCACTAAAACCTCAAGGTTAGTCACCCAGCTATCATGGGGTTGTTGTAGTTAGTTATGTAATATGTCTGACCACATGTTTCTTACTTTCATTTCCATCTTGGTGTCTTGTCTAAACTTACTTGCCAGTGCATGATCAAGTTGTAATCTCCTGTCAATGGTATTTGTCCAACATTGTCTTACTGCATCCTCATTGTGGGTGGATTCATGAATTACTCTTTCACATCTTATTGTCCAGATTAGATATGCTGACTCTGATATCAGTATTTTCATGAGGTGTGATGCTCCTTTCTTTATCTGTGCATCTTTTCTATCGCTTGTATTCCCGGCTTGTGTTACATTTGGGAGAGAGATGGTACCACAACCGAGGACTAAGCTAATGTGAGGCTCAGGCCAGGGGCCATGTTTCATTGGCCAGGTATCTTTCGCTAGCTGCCAGATGGTCTTTCTGATAGGGTTGCTACACTGTGTTAGTATATGTTCCAGGGATTCGATTTCTCCTGGGCATAGGTTGCAGACAGCTCTATGTCCATAGTTAGGTACATATGTTTTCCCAGAAATCTCCTACGCAATATGCATTGTTGAGTGATTTATAGATGAACATCTGGATGTTTTTCGACAAGTCTTTGTGTCTACAACTGTGCCATATGGTTTCATCGGTCTCTAGATTGGATGATACTGATTCAACAGCAAATCTGGTGACATTGAGGAGAGCTAGGGTTGCTCTGTTGTAGGTAAGGTTGGTCTTGCTCATAATCTCCATGTACGCTAATTTCTGAGATATCTTTGTTAGTTTTGCTTCTTGAGTATCGAAGTTCCGTGGTACATATGTATCGACTTGGTCAGGTTCAGGGTGGAGGGCTCTGGTGAGTGCTAGTTGATATGCTCTCTCATTTCTGATATTCCCATTGTGTCCTTTAGTCCACTGGAAGGTGGTAGGGGCTGGGCACCTTCTTATATGGTAAGCTGTGGCTTTGAAGAGGGTTGTGTGGTTGATTCCTATCCAGCCCATGTCCTCCCAATTAGTTAGGTGTGTAGTCAGTCCATTTATGACATATTTTGAGTCAATGATTATCTTTAGTGGAGATAATGGGTTCACCAATTGCAGGGCTACGAGCACTGTGGTTAGTTCACCTATCTGGTTTGAGTGATTATCTCTGGGTATTTTGATGGCTTTATTGAGCTGATGGTTCTCTCCTGCCCAGATTCCTCCACTGCACACTGCATTTTGTTTGCCATTGTTGGTACACAATCCATCGGTATATACCGTCAACTGTGTTCTCTCTTATCCATGGTCTGCCACTGGAGTACGGAGGCGATAGGCTGGGATTTGGACAAGGTGGTCCAGAATGGTGAAGATGCGGAAGCATTCTGATATATGGTTTTTGGTCATAATGGAGGGGTCGAAGAGGATCTCGCCATTTGGTTGTATTTGCATACGCACATTTTTCTCTAATCTTCTATATATAAGTGTTAGGTTGTCTTTCCTTGGTGAGGTATTGGGGTTGAATATTGGATTCAGGCTGTCAAGGATTTGTTGCGCAATGTGTGTGCACTTGTTGGGGTTTTTGCAACCCACCAGTCTGTTTTCAATGCAGGCGGGGCATATGCAGGTATTGATGTTGCTGTGGGTGTTGATATTTGTTAGTCTTTCGGCTATGTCTCGGTGATCCTTTACTGATTTCGCATTGTGTGTGGTTTGTAGGCATTTATTCTTTACTTTATTGTATGTTCTTGGAGGGGCGCCAAGGTGGAGCCAGGCAGGTATCTGGTTCTTGAGTTTTTCTGATAATTTCAGAGGTGCAAAGCTTACGTTATGCTTTCGTGCTGATTTTAACATGTTTGTAATTAGTTTTGGAAGGTGGTTGGCTCTTGATCCTTGAGTGGGTGGGGGTTAAGAAGGTGTTTATGTCAGGTTGATTACTGATGTTGTCCGGTTTTAGGCTATTGATTATGGTGTCTACTACGAATGCCCAAGACAGCCAGGAGTTGGACATGTCCATAAATGCTTGTACCCAGGTAATTTCTATGGCTTCATTCCTGGCACTGATGTTTAGTAGTCCTAGACCCCCTTCTGGTATAGGTCTTTCTAGACGAGTGAGACTTATTGGGGGGGTTTTGCGTTTGTTCCAGATGAATGTGCGTATCTTTTTTGTAATTGCTGCCTCAATTGATTTAGGCATGCCTTGAGCTTTAGTTAGGAATTGTGTCATCCCGCCTACTATCATCTGGGTTATCAGGCGTTTTCCATTGAGGGAGGGGTGGCACATGTTCCATTGAGTAAGGTTCATCTCTATTTTCACGAGTATCGGTTCCCATGATGTTGCATGTTCTATTTCATTTCTGATCCAGGCACCTAGTGTCCTGATCAGACTGCCATCTTTTGCTATGTGCACCAGGTCATGCCATGGTTCATCTCGGGGGTTTAGTTTTCTCTGTTGTACTACCCGCTCACAGTGGGCCTTAGTACCAATTGGTAGTATCTCGGTCTTTTCTAGGTTGAATTTAGTTCCTGACACTAAGCACCAATCTTTCAGGATGTCCTCTAGGTCTGAGTATTTATCATCTTTGGAGAGATAGATTGTGGTATTGTTGGTGTACATGTTGATGATGACCCAGTCTTTCAGGCCAGGATGCTGAAGCCTTTTATTTTCTGTGAGTTTCTTAGTGCGCATGCCAGTGGTTCAATAGCTAAGTCAAATAGAAGGCATGACAGGGGATCTCCTTGGCGCATGCCTCTGGTTACTTAGAAAGGTGCGCTCATAAAGCCATTGATTGCTACATGTGTGAATGCTGACTTATATAGGCTTTTTACTGTGTTAATAAACATTGGGGGTAGTTGGAAGGCATCTAAGGTATCAAAGAGGTATGTGTGTTGGATCTTATCATAGGCTTTCTCCTGATTGAGTGCTACAATCACTCCATCTTCTTCCATCAGATCTGCATAGGCCATCATTGTCTGGGCCAGTTGTATAGGGTCAAAGATGGACCTCCTAGGGATAAACCTGCTCTGGTTAGGATGGATCAATTTGTGTATTATGTTTGTGGCTTGTATCGCAAGGGCTTTGGTGAGTACTTTATAGTCAGTGTTCAGTAATGTGATTGGTCTATAGTTCTTCATTTTCATGTGCTCCTTTTTCTTGTATAGGGGGCACATCCAACCTGTTGTGAAAGAGGAGTCTGTGGTTATACCATGCAGTTGGATGTTGGTCATCACATAGGTCATTGTCTTTATTATATTGAAGCTTGGTCTCTCATTTCATTTCGCCTCATGATGTTTGTTGTTTAGCTGTTTCCATAAGTCATAGGGCACATCATCAATGCTGGCTGCGCTTCTCAATTTTGATGAGAGAAGTGCTTCAAGGACGTGTTCTTCTTTCAATGTCTCGTTCATGCACTCTGGTGGGTTGGCAAGTTTTTGCTCATCTGGTATTTCAGCCATTGACTGTTTCCTTGCTTTGCATCTGTCTTGTTCTGTGTGACACAGGGTATCATTGTTTTGGATCCCTTTGTGGTAGGTTTTTGTGATTTCTGCCATCTCTTCCGATTTAGTTGTGTATCTGTTGGTGTTAGGAATGTTAAGTCTATGGATGACATCTCTTGAAGATTTTTGTTTGTTCATCCTAGTCCAGTATTTACTGATAATTTCACCGTGGGTTGCCCATTGTGCTTGCATTTTCAGTGTTGTAGTTCTGAAGTTTTTCTTTGCAGATGGTTGATTTCCTTTTCTAGGATGATTTCATTCAGTCTCGTGTTTTCGGATGTGTCGATGTTATTGGTGTTTGCCAGTTTGCATAGGTCTTTCAACAGAGTACATATTTGTTGGTTGATTTTATGAAGGTGAGTTTTTGCAATGTCTTTTGCAATTCTGTTCATGTCAACTTTGAAGGATTGCCATATTGTCTGGGGGTTCGTCTCATCAGTGTGTGGTGTGTCATTTTCAATCGTAGTTTGGGTTCTGATTCCCATTTCAATTATTTTGTTTATCAGGAGTGTGTCTGATACCAAGCTCAGTGGCCAGGACCACTGTCCCTTCCCAATGTGGGGTAGGTTTGAAGGCACAAATCTGACGGAGACCATCTGGGGGTCCATGGGTATTTGGCTTATTTGTGAGTCCCATTCAAGCAAACTTTTGGTATGTCATTCTGATGCATAAATTCTATCGAGACATGATAGTGTTTGGTGATTACTGCTGAACGTGAATAATCTTTGGTGCAGGTTCTCTATTCTCCACATGTCTTGTAAGTTTAACGTGTTCCTTAAGTCTCTTAGTGTGTCTATTGAGCTTTCATTATCTAATCATACTGGAGCACGGTGTAGCACTCGGATTGGCGCTGGGCACATATACTGCCAATCTCATAGGTACCTCACATTATACTCCTCGACACTCCTTTTACCTTCCGAGAGTTCTGTGCATTCATCTGAGTTATCCAAAGGTCATCCATCCATTTCCGAGGCCTGTATACACTTCCAATCCTCCATACCATGTCCCATCCATGTCTGTTTGACTTCACTGGTGCATTTTCCACTTGTTCATCTGTTATTGATTATGTCTTAGGGGCACATACATTGTCGGCCCGTCGAAACCATTAGTTAATACATATAGCAGCATGCCTCATGCATTATTACATGCATATCTCTGTAGCGGCTTGCCTCGAGTCTTATTACATTTCAGATGGCTTATCTCGCTACTGTTTTCACCTACACAGTTTCTGGACTTTCACACTGTAGGATATAATCTGCCTCACTAGCTACTCACACTTCACTTCACTTTCCCTGCTATGAGTCATAGTTAGTAGAGTCACTTTGGATAGTTGTATCTTCATGCAATCGATCTCTTTGTTCATTCGGAACGATTGTTTGGCTTGACCACTGCCATTTTGCATCTTGCTATCTCTTAGTTTTCCCAATAGACTTTGCTTAGTTGTACTTTGCAAGTCTTATACTTTGACATACACTCCATACTTCTACCTCGGAACCTTCGCTGTTCATCAGAAGCTCTTTGGACACTTCGTGCAACCTCAGACCTTCATTTCTTGACATTGGACCACCTTCAGACCTCATTGGATGAGTACTTCGGTACTTCAGACACATCCTTGGATCACCAAGCACACTCTTGGTAACTTTCCCTTCTCTCACCTTTGATCTTAACAAGATATCCCTTGCATTTTATATCAAGAGATAGTTCTATTGGCAGTCTCTTTGGGGCGAACATTACACTCGCACTTCGAATTCTAAGGTAACAATATTTGTAGCGCCCACATAGAATCAACTCTTTACAGTGGTCAATGGGATCCTCTGTAAAATTGAAATCCCCCAGCATGAAGTCTATTGTTCCAAGGTTTCACCGCTGCACTTCAGTTTGGATTGTGCTCCAGAAATCGCTATGTTCATTCAGATTATTCGGAGTGTATATATTCAGTAAGTTAATTATTTTATTGTCATGCCAGCTTATAGATAGTATAGTTGCTTGCCCTGGGATGATGACATGTAGTTTGACATTGGAGGTGTTCATGATCTCTTTGTTCAGAATGAATGTGACTCCAGCTGAACTGCTGGGGTGTTCCAGATCACTCAAGTTTAGAACCAAGAGTCTGCATGCATAGAGGGAGTCAATCTGTGTTTGATGCTCCAGGCATAGGTGAGTTTCTTGTACACAAAGTATGCCGATCTTCTGATTTCTGATTTCTCGGTTGATTGCTATCCATTTAGATATTTGGTTTTGTCCTGGGCTCATCAAGGTATGCCCTTTTATATTCAATGATGCTATTTTAATGTTGGCACTTGTTTTCTGATTGGCAGTCGTTTGGCCAGTAATGTTTTGGTTCAGGTGCAGGGTGTTTTGAGTGGGGATGCTATTTGGTGTGTGTGGGTGATTGGGTGGTTTGTGGTTTGACTCGTTTGGGGTGGGCGCATGGGTGCGGGGGTTCTCGGAGAGTGTTGGAGGTTTTGGGGAGGGTTATTGCACATGTAATGCCATGGGTTCGGTTTACTTTCGATTGTGTGTTGAGGTTGAGTTAATTCTTGCCTGGGTAGGGCATTTCCACTTTCAAGTCCTTGAGAATGGTCATCAGAGGGCTGCCCAGCAGTTTGAGGCGGTCCTCCTCTACATCCAAGAGGGGGAGAACCAAGGCCAACAGAGAAACCAGGTTGGGGGGGGGGAGATGTTGTGAAGCAGGGATGATTGGTATACTAAGGCTACATTACGATCATTGTGTAGCTTAGAGTCAGCATATCCTGGCTGCCTTACAGTGGACTATGTTAGCAGTTTCGATGAATAGAAATGCCCGGTACATTCCAATCCTCTACTTGTGAGAACTTCAGCCTCTTGGCATGACTCGTCCGAACCTAAATAGGTTTCCATGTTCTGGCATGCACCATGTGTTGGTGAGATGATCACTGCTTTCCTGTCTCACTAACATGATCAGCATATTTGGGCAAGGGATCTAAGTTGAACAGATCATGTCTTGATGATCTGTTTCATGCCATGACAACTTTCCTTTCTTCACAGGTACTGGGCCTGAGGTGGGATGGTTGTGGTGGGTGTAGTTATTCTGATGTGGGTGATTAATAGGTAACAACGGGTATTGATTCACAAGGTAAGGGATATGAAGTAGTACATAGGAGTATGTAGGGGTTGGGGTAAGTAATGAAACTGAGGGGGGTTTGGTGGTTAAGCACGTGGTAGGAGTGGTACACATTCGTATTTACATGGCATAGGTGATATGTAGCGGGTCTTAGTTGTTATGTCCGGTGTAGGTGAGGAATGTAGATTGCTATAAAGTGGGGTGGTATGAATATACTCAGATGGTCCTCTGTGCGCGAATCTAATGTCGGCCCAAGGGGATTGCTACTGAGAAGGTTCCTCTATATATAATAGTGGAGGGAAACACTGAACCGGGCTGTCAGATAAGCCTGGTGAGGCGCGCGATGATGAATGAAGCGCGATGAGCAAGAGCGCTATGAAGCGCTACCGAGCGACGAGTATGATGGCGCGCGCTGAGAGTGAGCGAAGCGCGCGTGTGGGTGGTGGAGCGCAGCGACTCTTTAAGTGAGTCGGGAGACAAGTAAGACGATGTTTGTATATTAGAGTATGAGAACTGGCGCTCGTGTCGGTTTTAGCGCTTAGTGTCGGTCGGCGGATACGATGGAGATTTTTAGACTTAGAGTCCAATGTTTGTGCGGGAAGAAGATGATCATTCTACATCGAGACATGAGTATATATATTGTAAGTAGCGTTAAGCGCTGTCAAGCACTAAAGTGAGCCGGAAAGCGAAGCGAGTACGTGATGATATGTAAAATAAGGGTCCGTGACGAAACATATGGAATTTGTGCGCAAGCGCCGGAGATATGTCAGAATACATGAGAATAAATTAGGAACACGTGCTGACGAACCGAACGGACATGGAATGGATAAACGGAGGACGAGCGACGGAACTGAAGGTGCGTGCGCCGATGCGCGACCGAGCACCTGTGCGCGCGAGCGGCCGACGAAGCGCCAAGTGCGCAGAAATGAGATACAGGTCGCGCTGTGTTTGGGAGGTGATTGGGACGTTGGAGAATTAGACCTCTACGAGGCCACAGAGATGTTAGTCTCTACACCGGGTCTGCCTCCCCTGGGTCTTCCTGTCTGACAGGACAAATTCCCTGCACTTCTCTTGCTCAGTTTGGGGCCATTCCATTGCGGAGTTTGCAGGAATGGGCAAAGGCCACATGGGTGCACAAGAGAGTGGCACAATTGGCAGGCATGTAGTGCTGCGGCTATGCCACAGCCATCTAGGTCTGTGGGATATTCCAGGATATGGAGGAAACCTCTGAGCTCCGTCCATGCTTTCGCATCATTCATGGGGCTGGTTGTTGTGAAGATATTGAAGCGATGCACAGATAGGCCTCCAGTGACTTTGAAGTCTAGGATCTTGATGTGAACCAAGTTAATGAAGCCACACATAGCTTTGTATACAAGCTTGTCATCTTGGAACCCGCTGACACGCACCAAACTTGTTTTGTGCATGGTCATGGCTACTTTTTAGCTTTGACGTTCTCTACTACACTTTACGAAATTACTAAGAATTTTCTATAACACATTATGATTTGATTTGAGTAATTTTCAGACATAACAAACCCATAATACTACATAATAATTCAATTAACACTTATCCAATCTAAAGATAAGTTTCAAACATACCACAACACATTATTCAGCATTCTCTCACAATCTTATGATTGTTTTTTTACAATTCTTCACATTTTTTCTGTATGTTCTGAAATATATTTACGGTAGCATTCCAACATTTCAACAGTTCATGTGTGATCAATGGCTTAGTCAGATGAAATGGATTAGTAAGATGAGATGGATTAGTCAGGAAACTGAAGGAAGAAAGTTGATAGATGGGAATATTTGAGAAGTGAACAAGTCATCATGAGACATTTCAACTATGACTCAGTATGAGTCATTATGAGTCATTTTCTGTCTGAGTCACTATGAGTCATATTTCCTTAAATAGATAGTTACACAGCCACATTTAGAGTAGTATATAAGGGGCCCAGTTTCCCCTCTGAATAATGATAATCTCCCTTTTGAAATAAGCTTCCTTTGAGAGGACAGACATCCCCCTTTTAGAGAGAGGGAGGAGGATTTGAGTATCTTCCTGAATTTCTCACCCTACATTTGTGTGAACATCTGAGTGAATATTAGTTTATTCCCTCCATTCTTTTGTCATCATTTCCCACAACATACTGATCTTCTGAGGCCTACCTTGAGCCAATCCTTGAATTACACTAGCTGGTACATGGTCATCAGTCATCTAGTTGTAGTTTTGTCACATTCTCTTTGCAACACAGGATACCTTTTCTGTGGGGAGAATTTACGTATTTTTAACGATTAGGAGGACGACAAATAAGACTAGCACTTTATTCAACAATATTAAGAGCTTGGCTGCTTTAAGACTACATCAAGAGGGTGTACTCTGTTCTGATTCTGCATCATACTCATCGTGAGTGCCTGAGCAGCAGAGAAGTTAGTTTCAAAGCCACATATTTCAGTTGATTCGATTGTGTTAGAGGCTTAGTTTGATCTCCTCTAATTTTTGAGAATAGGGAGTGTTTACAAGATATTACTCTGATTCATTGTGTACTGTGTGATTCATATCTTCATCTTCATATTGATATTGCACACCTTTGCAATCCTCTTTTAGTAGCATCGTAGTACTGCATCAAGCCAGTTATCAATTCAGCTACATCATTTGCAATCTTTATCTTTAACGTCCTAAGTACTGCATCAAGCCAGTTAATGGACTATTGGCCTTCAAGTACCTAAGCACTGCATCAAGCCAGTTAACGGTCACTATCTCAACCCACCTAAAGTCATTAGAAGTTTGCTTAGATCGACACTGCTATTACCGCCTCCTCCCACAAACGACCATGTTATCAACCGTTGGTATTTGTCTGAACCATTGACTGTGGAGGATAGTGAGAACTGGTGATTTTATTACCAATCACATCCTAGTAAGACACCGCACATTGAGAATGTGTCATCAATGCGGTGCCTGTTGTCATCGGAGGACCACACATCAACAACAGCTTTGTGGACAATGTCTACATCTGACGTGGTGAATCTGGATAAGCAGAAGAGTAATTCCAGGGGGTGGGAGCAATTAAACAGTGTAGAGATACAACAATTGCTGGACACTACATGAAGTAAGTAACCAGCAATATAAAAATGTGTTGTGGTCGTGCACAGCCTAGTCTGCTATACTTGCAAGACAAGTGTGTTCGACCTGAGGGGTTAGCTGTTTGGAATGGTCTGTAGTTAGTGAAACGATAAACGGTCAAAAGTCCGAGCGCAAGAAACAAAGTCCGAAGGTATATCTACGATGTCCAATGCCAAAGTGTTGGGTCTGATGTTTTCGGGTTTTGGGTTAGTGGGTTTCAGGTTCAGGTTTAGCGGGAATTGCAATAGCAAATGTCGGGAAAGCGAGCGGTATGCGGATTAACGACAATGACAGGTGTTTCGGATAGAAAGAGCGGTAATATTCGCAATGTCAACTAAGAACTACAAAATATCGGGTTTGACCACTAAGTATCGGGAAACGACTCCCTACTACTTGGATAATGAGAATACTTGTAGTCAGTCCAATATATATGTGAGTACATAGAAATCTGGAACCCTATAGGCAAAAGTAGTGGCCGACGATTTCGGGTCCGAAGTACATGTAGACTAACATGAGGCACTGCGGATGATGGGAAAACATGTAATAGCACTTGCTACAATGTGAGTAATGTGTGAAATAATCAACTACGCACCTAGTGGGGCTAGCAAGACGGGATGGGACACAGATAGGACAAGTGCGCAGGATTTCAGATTGGCCGATGTGGCCGAAACATCAGGTCCACTAGTCAAAGTGTCGGGTTGTGTGGGTTAGTGTCTGGTTACATTGGGAAGTGATTAGTGCACAACGGGTATTGGACGTGTATCGAGAAATCAGTGAATATGAGCCTAGTGCAAGCTCGAGTGCTACAACGGTAGCACCTCAAATGTGATGTCTGTGGAAGACCAGATGTGCTGGTTCACAATCAGGTTCCTAGTTTCTTCTGGGATCTTGTGTACTAAGAAGCCGACAGGGAAATCTTTTGAACTTCTTCCACCTTGGGGTTGAGGTGGGGAGATGTGAAGTGGTGGGGTTTCTTGGTGGATGAAGTCTGTGATAGTGGCTATGCTGGCTTGTAAGTGTTCCGCTATGATTGCCATTTTCTTTGCTACATCTTTACCAGAGTGGTCAAAGACATGCACCATAAATTTAGGGTGCTCCACCTGGAACCAGGCAAGGACCACCTTATTATCAAGATGGTTGAAAATTTGGGTGGAGTGTGCCATATGGATATTTGGGAAACCGCCAAGAGGCATGAGTGTGAACTGAGGTAAGATCGTGTGGTGGTTTATTCCATCTTGGTTGAGTATGGACTGGTTTGTTTCTGCTAGCATGAGGTGGGCAAGGATGGCATCTTCCTCTGTGGTTTGCGCTCATGTGGCAGGGGGGGTGTGGGGGGCACTCATGGTTTAATCCACCATGGCGTTACTGGGGGCGTGCATGGAATTACTCAGGTCGCTGTCATTAGCATGAGTTGCGGTAGTCTCCTGAGAGGTGGTCACTTTGAATTCACGGAAGACAAGGAGGTTGGCTGGCTGGCTGAGCCCACTCATCTCACAGAGGATGGGGGTGGGGGTATTTGGGGGTGAAGTTGGAGAGGAGGGGGGGTCAAGCAGGAAGTTTGAGGGCTGTTCCATGCTGTCATCATCTGGTAAGACATTCTGTGGGAAGAACCTCAGACCAACATGAGGGGTCTGGGATGATGGATGAGGGGTGGAGGGGTAGGGATGGGTGGTTTGGAAGATAGCTTTGAGGGATGTCGGTTCCTTATCCTTCATTGTGAGGCAGATGAGGGACTTTGGGAAGGGTTTGGAGGGGGGTTATATTCTCATATTCAGTCGCAGATTTTGTCTGAGTATCGAAAGTTGGGATCAGGGATGGCTTTGTGGCCGGGTTCATATTGTTTAGTGATGGAGGGTCATGTTTTTGTTTGCCTGTATGCAGGGGCATGTCCTTCAGGAGAGCAGTTAGTGGCTGTGAGCATTTAGTGTGACATTATTAAGATGTGTTTTCTTGCATTCAGGCATAGTCTTGTTTTTCAAACTTGGGTGTGGAATATGTTTGTGGTGGTTGGGAGGTTGACTTACAAGTGCAGTTTGGTTATATGGATATTTGAGGTGGTTGAGCATATGGGGTGTGGTGATTTCCACTACATTTTGAGTTTTTCTTTGTTGTTTTCACGGGTTGGGGTGTTTTCGTTGTTGGGTGGTTCAATATCAGGGTATTCATTTCAGTTCAGTTTCTTGCTGTCAATTTTACATGGGTGTGGTAGGGGGCACTATGATTGGGTGATAGGAATTACACATTTTTACATCATGGTTTTCTTGGTAGCGATGTTGTTGTTCAGTATGTTGTATATGTTTTCTAGTTAAGGATCTAGTGGGTATGTGTGGTTGTTGGAGTGGGACTAGGTTGTTCCATTGTCGTTCATTTTGTTTGTTTGTTGTCAGGTTTGGTGGTAGTTTTCTGGTGGTGTGGTAGTTTTTTATTTTGTGAGCATGTTCAGGTATGATCCTTATGCTAGGGATGGGTATTTTGGTTTGAAGAGGTCTATTGTATTGAGGCCAGTGAGTAACTGTGAGCTGGCATCACTCAAACTTGCCTGCAGATAGCATGGGAAAAACCCTCCATGGTAGTGGTACAGATCCAAGTGCCTCTGATTGAATTTCTTATGTTCCTTAAATCTCCTTTACTGCCTTCTTTTGTTAGACTTACACTTGGAATGTTCATCAGTCTATCAAACGATTTATGGCCAATACCTTCACTGACAGCCCAGTGAGCGACTCGCCAGTCAAGTTCTGATGCGAAAGATGAGAAGGTGTTGTAGGAAGAAGACAGTTGGCTTGTATCATCCATGTCCACATCCTCCCCCTCAGCTTTCTCTTCTCCAAATCTTCTCCTCCACAGCTGGTGAAGCGTCTCATCCACTCTGATGACCCTCCCTACCAAAAGATGTTCTTCAATGATATGCACATCTTCCTCTCCCTCTCCAGTCTCCTGCTGAGCATCATGATAAGAGCCCTCTCCACAGTTACGGCCTATATGATCTTCATCATTAGGGGGGATAAGGTTGTACATGTGCTGGCCATATTCTTCCACCACTTCCATAGGGTCCAACTCAGGCTCCTGCCTAGGTAACACCATTTGTTCATCAACCTCTCTAGCCATCACCTCTTCTCCAAATCTCCCTGGCAAAGTCAGCTCTCTCAGTTTACCCTTCTTATACCACTGACAGCTTTTAGCCGTCTGCAGGTGAGCAGTGATGCCTTGAGGAGTCTTCATAAGTTTGTGACAGGCTGGGCATATCAAAGGATCATCATCTTGGGGGTCAAAGCTTTCTACATCAACGTTCAAAGCCTGAAGTGCAGATCTGAGAGTAGGCATGGTAGTGATAGAAGTATGTGCTAAGTACTATGTGTTTGTACTAGTTGCAGTGATGTCATCACAAATACATATCAACAACTATACAAGTACTATGAAAGAGTACGCAGAGCATGTACGGCTATTTGGTACAGGGGTTCTTTTGGGGGGGCCCACCTCCATTCATTAATTCTAATGATTCAACTCCACGCTTGCTGGCACAGGAGACTATGCTGGCAGGGGTAACCATACTCCCAAGAGCAATGCTGTTAGATGACCTATTCAGATTCCCTGCAACCTTTAGAGACCTCTTCCTTTTGTTCTCCACCACTGTAACAGTGGGAAATGAAGGGAAGTGTCCGTGTCTCAAGAATTCCTCGTATCGCTGGCGGCCATCTTTAATTTGAAGCGCATCGGTGTAAGTGTCATATCCTTTTATGCTCTCCAACATGTCTTCCAGGATACAAGTGACTTTGTCATGGGTGGGCACATGCTGGGGTGGCGTCCAGAAGACCTTACCTTCCCTGGTAGAAGTGATGCCTTTGAAGAGAGAATGAAGCCTTTCCATCCCCTCGAGGAATGGAGGTTTTGCAAAGTACAGGGTGATGAGAGCCTTCATCATTTCCCATGACATCGTCACTTTCTCCATGGCAACTTCACAGTATTCCATCACATGGCCGCCAGGCTTGGCCCAAGCAGGCACGTTCAGACTAGTGAAATCCCCCACACAATACAAATGCGCCTTCTTATTGTCAATGAGTTGATGTTTCCACATGTCCCTCACAAACTTGTGCTGTGCTCGCAACCCTTTGTGTAATCGTTGTGCAACAGTTTCGACCGGTGCTGGATTAGATGTGGATGCTGAGGTGGAAATGGGAGGTGGTGTGGTGGTCACGGGGGTGGAGATGGTGGTGGTTGGAAACATATCCTTCATCCAAGACGTGTAGCCTGGAACCTGTGCACCAATCAGAGGCACAGATTCTTCTCTGAGTTGCACATGCTGGGAGAACTTGGTGTTGTGCAGATCCACTGTGGAATTGTCTTCCTCAGTGGCGAGTTTAGTCACTAAGTGTTCAATATCCGCCCAGTCACGAGTGACATTAAAAGGGCCATCATAGTTGACGGACATGATCCACAAGATCCAGAAGAATGACTCCAGATCATCACATGCTCTGTGCTCGACGATGTTCCCATTGGCACCAAACATGAGCTCCATGGAGAGGTAGGGGTATGTCCCCTTGTCGGACTTCAGAAGTGTGACACAACAGCAGAATCTATCACTCACAGTACAGAAATGCAGTCAAGATTCATCGAAATTTTTGTTTTCCTTACGCAGGTCAATAGCAAGACCCCAGTTGGCCAGGAAGCCCGGGCACATTGCCCTTCCTTGGCCTGGTTGAAATAAGTTGACGATCAGGCAGAACTATAAATAAAGCTTACCTGGTATGGCAGATTCCGCATCAATGCTGTTCACAGCTATCATGACATTGGGCAAGCTGACATCCCTGTGAAGAATATCATGTCCAAGAGCATTCCCATGACCTTTGTGCTCGGTTAGTTCATATCGACTTCAAAGACAGTGCCAAATGCACGCACCTTGCACTGCCATAAGGATAGCATTGAGGAGTTCCTCTATAGTGGCAAACCAAGGTAGGGCAATGCCACAGGCCTCAAAAAGGAATCATTTATGAATCATTTGTTTTACAGCAATGGATGGCAGGAGTTCGTCTTTGAAGTACTGGGAGTTCTTATCTGTTTGATTGTGTGGGTCACTGGTCCTTGGTGCAGTCACAACATCAAGTTGACTGGCCAAATATACAGCGATTTCAGGGGGCTCTTGGTACTCTGCATTCTTTTCACCATTACATTCATGGAGGTCCTTGTTCTGGGCTTTAAGGAGCCCGTGGATGAAGGAATCAGAGCGATCTCCATGATATACCTAGCAATCTTTGACAATTGAATGGGTAGGACCTAGAGGAGTTGTTAGCTGCCTGTAATGCGCACCATGGTGACCTTTCAATATGAGGGGGAACTGACCTTCATATGATGCGACTGCTTTCTTGGCCTTCTTCCCCTTCCCCTCAGTGTTCACGTTTGCCTCCTTGGAGACCAAGTACTGGGAATACATGGGGTGGATGCAAGCAAAGACGTGTGTTCCTTGACCTTGGACAGAATGGGATGAAAAAAGACACGTGTCTATTGTGAGGGTTAATGGTTGTATCATCTCCAACCATACGAGCTTCATCTGGATCACACATAGACCCATACTTGCACTGAATTGGGGTGTGGTAACCGTCGGATCATAACCAATGCTCTCGAGTGAGCCATGTGCTATGGCAACCAATGCCTGTGTGACAATCCCTGGGTCGGTGTGGAGTGACATGGGCATGGATTCCATAGTACCACCATAGTGAAACATGTATACGCACAGATTGGCACCACACATTGTGAAGCCGATGAAGAACAACCAATTGTCTTGTTTGCTGAAAATGAAGAACACATTGTCATATAGTTGTTCATATGCATCTTCCACCAGTTCCAGCGTATCTTTGTACTTGACCTATCATAATATTGCCATAGGTGAGCATCTACAATGGTGATTGAATGATGTTACGCCTACCTGACAGATTGATCTCATGTGCTCTCACTTTTCTGCAGACATCTGAAAATGGCTATCCAACAGTACCAGATCAGGCTTCCTCCTCTTATCGATGAAAGTGTTGTGATGTGCATGCCACACTCTGCTATTGTCGATGTTTTGCACACCTGCCACTGTTGCACAAGTTTTGGTGAACTAGGAAAGTACATCAGATTGAATGACCACGACTCGCAGGTAAGATAAGCCACTCACTTCAGTGAAGAAATTTGCGAAAGGCTCTTCTTGCTCATATTCAGGCCCTGTGAGATCTTTTCCAACCATCGGTGGAATGAATGGGCTAGAAGAGTATATCCAGCCCTCCTCCGTGTACGGGAATTGCTTTGGAAATTCAGAAACCCAGCTTTCCCAATGTACCAAGGGCTCACACAGCTGCTTCCAGTGGCAGATATGAATATTCCTGCTGAAGTTTTGATGTGATTCTTTCTTGAGAACCTTGGCCAAGCAATGGTGAGTAGCGAGCTCAAGTTCATTGTTCAAAAATGAGGCAACCTGTGCGTTTTTTGCTTGGGTGGAAAATGCAAAAATCGGATCCACACTTACTCCATGTCTTACTCTGCTCTGCTGTGGTAGAACAGTAACACCCTGAGTGCCCAAGGAATCAACCATTTATTCTGGATAGAAAGGATGAACAAACCAAAGATTTGTCTGCCATGGGAGATGTGTAGGCGTGTTATCAAAGTACATATATGGCTTCACCATGCTGTGGCAGCGAGGTAAACTCTGATTGTTATCTATGGAGAATTCGTATTAAGTTATGTGATGCTTTATAGCATTCCTACGTTGGATGGTGGGCGAGCCCCAACAGGGTCTCATGGGACTGCATCGGGGCACACTCACTGTCTCCCACACCTGCTCAATATCTCCAATGGCATCGCCATCACCCACCACACATGTCTCACACCTACCTGTGTCATATTATGACCTTGTCTTGCTTGACCATGCACTGTCTTTCCTTGGCGGTGATAGTGAAGGACTCAATGCCTTAAAATCACTTATTAAAGAGCACCAAATTTCACACAAAGCCTATCAAGCACAAGTCCATGATTCTACACCCAGACATCCGAGTCTACATCAACAAACACAATGATTTCACCCTTATGATGCTCAAGGGTGCAGGACATGCAGAAGAGGAGGGATTGCCATGAGAGAATGGGAACAGATGGGAGAAATAGCAAGTACTATCAGCCCTGAGGCAAATGCATTGATCAGGATGCTAGCATCCAGTGATCTAGACTCCAAGCTAGAAGAATGGGCTGGCAGCTTGTTATACATGAGCCAGAATCTGACTTGGAGCATGGAAGACTTGTTGTCATCAGTGTTGCTACATTGCACTTCTTTCATATCTAAGGGCACAGAGGTAAACTTCTATTTGATGGTTAGCCAGATACAGCTTGCTATGAAGTGCCAAAAGTAAATGATCTTCTCTCATTCAAATGTCTCTAACTGATCAAGAACTTAGTGAGATCGCAACTTCTGATGAGGGTCTTCTCAATCTATCGGATGTCTATAATATGCTGTCAGAAGAGGGAAGACCCACCTTGAGGACCATTTACTTCTCTTCTTTCTAAGTTCACACCGTCCTAGTTGTCTTCATACTACTCCAGCAATGGTTATAAGAAGGAAGGTACTTATATCAAGATATCAGCTCATGCATTGGAGGGGTGCGTTTCTTTGACTTGCTTTCCAAAGACTTTAGTATCACTAATGTGTATATATGTTCCCCAGGCAGGTATTGGACATACTTAATGCAGATGGAACTTTGATGGCTTTCATTTGCACAACACTACCTGATTGTATATGCAACACTCTAGAAGCTAATCTCCTTGCTGCTTTTGGGAAGTCTAACATGCTCATTGACAGAAAAATGTTCAAAGAAGACGAGATGGCTGCAAGCGAGGCAGTAGGCCAGTTTTCTGATATTCAAAAGGACATTATATTTAATGAGTAACTGGAGGGCGCTTCTGGGATGGTGATGAAAGGAGATGTTCTCCCTTTCCATTGCGCTCATTTTACTTGGTATAACAGGTATACAACACCTGTAAGCCCGTCTTTCCAGACATGAGCATCAGCTGACACATTGTTGTTGCAGGGAGATAATGCACCCACAGATGTTCACCCTCATAACCTTAGGGTAGCAAGAGCGTCTTGTACTAACTACTCTCAGTTCTTGCCTTATCCCTCCAGGGAAATGGTTGAACATGCTGACCTGTACCGAGGGATGATCGCTAACTTTGGAGACTTGTTTGAATGGATCAAGAACATGGTATGCTATTTATATTATCTGGAAGTTCCGCACTGGGAGGCTGAGACATAGTGTAGATATGTCAGTGTCTACCAGAAGAATATGAGTTTTTGATCCAGTATGTGGACCTGCTGCCTGGAAAACCTGGGTCTCCTGTTGCATCATTCCTTTCTCTAGTGGTGAACGTCAATGTTTGCACTTTAGCTCACCGAGATGGTAAAGACTTGATTTACTGCTTGGTCCTTCCATTGGGAGACTTTAAATGTGGAGAGCTAGTGTTGAAGGAACAGGGTTTGGTGGTAGGGTTGTATAGTGGAGACTTCATGGTTTTCTTATCTAGAGACACTACTCACTTCAACCTAGACTATGAGGGGAGGAGAGCATCTCTTGTCCTACACACCGATGGAGAGTTTGCCAACTGGAAGGAGACTAGGAATCATTGGAGGAATAATGTACATTTCTCTGGATGACACTAGCTATTCTGTTAGCTATCAAATGCTTCAATATTGTAGCTTCTTTGTAGAGCGCTTAAAGTCTAATATAATTTACGTCACCTCTTCACTTCCATTTTCTTGTTTGGAGGGCGCCTTACTTTCTCACACACATGGCTCCCAAGAAAAGTTCTGCTAAGACTAAGGCTAAGTCTACATCTAACACTTCTAAGTCTACTTCTGGCCCTGCAACTAGAGGTACTACAACAGCAAGGAAGACAGCAGCAGCACCAAGGAGTGCTCCCAGCAGTGCTGCAGCCAAACCTACCAGCCATACCACCAGAGCAAAGGCTACTACATCTACTTTCAGTGCAGCAGAAGCCAAGAAATTAGAGGCACTCAAAAAGGTTGAAAAGAAGGCAGCCTTAAAGAAAGCGGAAACACAGAAAAAATGTATGTGATAATTGTTTCTACCTGCAAACGCTAAGGGTGGTTTATTACAGAAACTAGGAAGAGAACGGCAGCAATGCTGGCCAAGGAGTCAGCTGACTTTGAGGAGGAGGATAACCATGAAGACGGTGAAGAGGGAGAAGATGAGAGTGTAATCTCTGCTACTAGGTGGCCAAGGAAGTCAAGGAAGGTAACTTTTGATTCCAGTGATGATGAGGCAGAGGCACCGGCAGAGGACCCTCTGGAAGAGGATGAAGCTAATCCCAGCTGTGCTAAGGATATCTTATGTCTAGAAGATTCTTCTGATGAAGAACCCACTCCAGAAGAATCACCTGCAAATGTTTCAGTGGAAGATGCTTCTTCAACACATATGCTGCAGGACTATGAGGTGAGTGTTAGTTCTCTTCCCATACTATGCTAACACATACAAAAGATCGTCATCAAGTCTATCCATGCTAATATCTCTAACACCACTGCCAGCAAGGGTGCTACTAAGGTCACTCTTAATGATTTTAATAGTCCCAGGGCGGTACGCATTGCCAGAATAGCTCTCAGAGGTATGAGAAGAGATACAGCCCTGCAGGAAGGATTTCCTCTATCTGGGAGGTGCATTTCTTTGAGTTGGACCATCATGTGTAGGGAGGCATCTAATGACAATGAGCTATAAAGGCCAAAATGGAAGAAGTTCAAGCAGATGATGATCTCAAAGGCAAGCTTGTAGCCTATGTAAGTTTTTATTGATGTGATGCATATCATACTGATGCTTTCTTATCTAAGACATGGAACGGTAGTGGCCAAGTAAGAACTATATTGGTAGGTAAGGCTAGAAGTGGGGTAGCTGTCTGATACAAACTTTCTGGACTACAAGGCAATAACCTCAAGGAAGCTGTAGACTGGTTGTTATTGGATGAAGTGTTCCTGTATGACGGTATAGATCTGGAGGTGAGTTTTCTTTGTTTCAAGTGTGTAACTGCTACATATTAATTATCTATTGCACGCTCATTACTCCTACTTCCAGGCCAGGACATATGACAAGTCCAGAATATGGATGAACAATGCATTCGCTTACTTGATTGAAGATACTTTTTGGTCTGTCAAAGGTGACACAGTGAAGATGGGAAAGAAAGGTAACACCTACTGTTACAGCTAGGATGGGTCTTCTCAACACCAGCACGAATGTGCTATCGCATAGAGTGTGTCAAGGATGTCTTACAAGTCGGTCGAAGACCGACAGGTCTCTCCGTCTATCTCGGTAAGGGTCGAGGGCCTCATCGAGAATGAAGGGCTAACAAGAATACGGCTAAGGCACGGGGAGTGTCTTAAAAGTGCAGTCAAAGGTTCAAAGAAGCAAGTGGATTAGATAAGCTGGTTCTAGAAGAATCTAGTTCTGGGATAAGACCTAGTAGATTAAAGTAAAGAACTGGTACAATAATCTGGCTACTTATATATGTCTATAAGTAAGGGTTCAAGCTCAGTCTGTATCTAAGGATCTATGCTATCAGAGATAACCGAACATGAGGTTAACCATGAGGATCAGATAAGATACATGAGGCTTAACCTCTGATCAAGGGTGAGGCGCCTTGAGGCGCTCCGGATCTACATAAGGCAACATGAGGCAACATGCACCGATCTAGGGTGACCATGAGGCATACAGCCTCAGAGGATCAGGTACAAGGCCTTCTAGGCCAGGGGCGGTGTCACAGCGGTCCAGACCACTGTCGTTCTAAGTGCTGGCGGCATATCACCACGTCGGGAGTCTAGCAGGATGGGGGCTTCTGTAGATGTTACGGTAGACTGTAACACCTACCTTGAGTTGCCTGACCCTCTTCTTAGCATCTGTGCAACAGCAGTAAGTTCTAGTATCTCTCCTGATACCTTTCTTTCACCATTTTCTCAATAGATAAAGTGCGCTTTCAAAGGAATCAGAGATACCTGCAGCATCAAGGGAATAGTGCACTTCACTGATGCTACCTATGGCCCTGAGTACACATTTTAATTGATTTCTCAAAGGTCTAGCTAACTTTGTTTTTTTCTAGATGATGCTACTATATGGACTTGCTTAAGAAGTTCAAGAAAGACTCTCCAACATACTATGATCTCATCAAACTGGAGCTGCAGGACGTGTTAAGGTAAGCTATGCATTTTGATTTGAAAGACATACGTACTAATGTTAGACAGGGAGCATTGCAAGGATATTGCCACATTTCTAGATGAAGGTGATAGCATTACTAACAGCAAGATTGATTTCAATGCAATGGAGGAAGGCACCAAAGTGCTAATGGCAGCTAGAAAGAGGAAGTAGAGGCACAGTTAGATTGCTTTCTATTACTTTTATTACACTTTTTTTTGTCCAGTAAAGCTATATTAGAAATACAGTGGCTTTTCAGCTTTTTGTAATGCTCACCAGCATAACTAGCTTTTTAAGCTTTGAAAAGCTCAAAAAGCCCAAAAAGCAAGATGTCAGAGATTCACTAGAGCATTGCATTAAATGTACATTTTTGTTTATAGGAAATTCTGCTGGCTAAAGTAGCTTTGGTGCTCGTAAAGTAGCTCAGAAAGAAGGCACTTTGCCATTTGAGCTTTTTCAGCTTTTGAATCTTTTTCAGCTTATTTTAGCTTATTTTAGCTAAAAAGGCTTGAACACTTTTTCCTGATGTTACATAGTTTACTTAGTAGAATAAGGCACAAAAGGACACTGACATTTTCCTGATGGCAATGATTGTTTACTGGAACATACACTGCCACACAGTTATGATTTTGAGATGTACAGTCATGTAATATTGTATCCTAATGGTATGAGATCTTGTTAGGCTCTGTCTGACTTATTTTATGTGTCGTGCGTGTTGTGCTACGTTGATAAATAAGCATAAAGGAAACCTAATCACAATAGTGAGATAAATAAATCGCAGTGTAACCTGGGTATCTCGGTATACGATAGACGATGACGTGAACAACACATGGAGGTAAATGTGATGTCCTGGAATGCCCATAGGGCCGTGGTATCTAAATTAGCACGGAGGTTTTTCCTGATGCTCTACCTCCTTCCTCGATTTGGAATATCATACACAAGAGTCAACCTCGGGCTGCTCCAATTCCGGTGGCAAAGACAAACAGACACAATCCTCGAACATTGTACTGATGTGTACGCAGTCTTCATTGGCATGCGTGTCCCAAATGCTGATGATAAGACGTGGCACGATAATCAATGGCGCGGTATCCTTGAACAATAGTACAAGACCCAGCATCACCGTCTTTTGCATGCATACATTAGAACATATATCTGTGAAACCGCAAAAAATCATACCGTAAGGTGGGCCCATACTATCGCCATGACGATTTGAGTTGCCAAATTCCTAGCATGATTTAATGAATGCTTTCAGAGAACACAACGAACGAAGGGAACTTACAGGACAAAGTATATGACATGATATCGGACGATCATCACTACGTAGGTGTTAGGCTTCATTTTAAGTTCCTTTCGTTCTTTCAGGTGCTTCTTGAGGACGGCAATGGCGAGAACAACCAAGAAAATATCATAGCATATGACAGGGATGGAAGCGTAGATCGCAGGCATAGGCCCAGTGTGGAAGACAGCCGTGCAGTACTTGATATTTGGGGTTATTCTGATTTCTTGAACTGTACAACAGGCATCAGCTTTCAAAGAATTCAATCAAAATATAAATTCACCAGAGATCTTCGAAGGCTGGCTCCATAAAAATGCAGCCACCGCTATATAGAGCGCGACGATAGGTAGGAGCAACCCCAGTAGAACATAAAGTATGAGCTTAGATCGGTTGTGCAGGGCGTAAAGACGCCAGATGAGAATGACTGCAAATGTAAAAATGGGAAGCGCAAAGGTGCGAGACTGTATGGATATGACATACCTTCCGCCAAGCAAAAATATGCAGAAAAACCCCATTCCATGAACACGAATATACCATAACCTATTTCAATTTGATGATTAGCAAAGCTAGTCTCAGTTGAATACGATACACTCACAACTAAACAAGATGTCAGCAGCAGATCAGGCTAGCTGTAAAACGAACTTGTGACGTACGGCTGAATCTGGGTCAACCTAGAACCCTCTAAGGAAAGGAACGATATACTCACTGCTTCAGGTATATAGAATAGACCTCCCCCTAGTGCTGGTCAGTCAATGATGGCTCATTTGGTATGACGTCACGTACAGGTGGCGCAAATCCTAGACGTCAGCGTCAACATACAACGTACCATCCGAAGGATACAAACACCGCGACGTACATTGCAATGACAAGACCAAAATATCGAACCTGACATAGCAACGAAAATGGGAAACCATGAAGCACTTTGGCAGGGTGGAGCTCACAACAAGGTATAGATATGTCATCACTGACCACTGCCTTTGCTGCATAACAGGTCAGTTCCGGAACTTCATATCATTGGGGTTGAACTCTAACCCAAACGAACGTGACCTGCGATATATGATCATGAGTACTCGGAGATAACGAAACAACCCCCTCCTTACCTCTTTCCCAAATTGAAGCACTAGATGATATTACGCTCAACCGTACTGCAGGGTTCATGAAAGCTACTGACCGTAGTCATAGGATATCAGGGTAATGATTGCAACTGGAAATGACGAAGTTCAGCACAATGATTCATGTCCAACAAGCTCTGACGAACCCGATATGCTGTTATTCCAGTTAAGAGCATAGAGATATTCTTCTAGTTTTGACATGAAAATGTGCAGATTAAATGGCGAATTCAGAGAGTGAGGGATGGATGGACTGCTGCTGCTCACCAACGTACGATACTTATAGGGCACATCGGAATCTCGTTGACCTCTAAGGGTTGTGAACTTGTGGTATCCTAACGAAAATTGTACGACATCGTGCCGAGTTTGGGCCATACTTTTCCATTCGATGACACAAATCACTGTCCTCGATAACTCGCTATCGACGGAAAGGTCATAAGTATATCGACAATCACACGGCTGACAACTTGAAGAGTCACCCTGCGTCACCGGTGGCTGTTACTGGTTCTTGGGCTAGATACTGCCAGTCCGACCCTCTTGTTAGGTAGCATCGGCAGTGCCTGTCTACCCCGAAATGGGTGGAAAAGATCAAATGAAGGAAGCCCCATCACCATTCATATAAACTTGACAATGACCTAAGGTCGAACCTCGGAATAAGCGAAGGACTTGCAAAACCCAACATGTTGACGTTCGTGTGGCAAAGTGATCTCTTGCATGGACATAGTTACGATGTTTTCGAGGGAGAAACCGTGATCGGCGAGGTGCCCTATCTTACATGTATGAGAATATGAGTAACTCGACTATCTGCGAAACAGAAATGACAGCCTGGCCCTCAAGGTGGGAGTGGAGAACAGGGACGCCAGGAGCGGCCTTGATCTACTTGTTCCAAGTAACTTAAGGAACCCTAACAGGGCTGGAGTTTGAACACCGTGACTTGAAATGTGCCTGCACACCTCGTTCTAGCTCGACCCTAACTTGAGCTTGATTTTGGACCCCATGCCAAGATCATACACGCGAGGTCTCGTGTTGCGGTGGCGAAGTCTAACATACACAATCCTCGAACGTTTGTGCTGAAGATACGGCCAGTTTGGGCGCATGTCCGGGCGGACCACAAGTCTGTGTCTGGGATCAAATCTGAGTGATTGAAGCAGAGCTTATATGACAAACCTGCCCACCTACTGCTCGTCACCTACATCACGCCACCACACAGCGCCCGCTGCCTGCCGCCCGGTTTTGGGCTCCGTCTTAAGCGGACAATGTCAATTTCCTCCTTCCCTGTCTCTGCCCATCCGCCTGCCCCGGTCAGCTAGGTATGCCGCCGTATGGCAGCGAAGCTCGCAGCTTTCCTCAAAAACTCCCCAAGGTTATCAAAGTTGATATGTATACTCGCGAAGGTCCTCAACGATTTCAACTTCTAGCATCAGGTTCATCGTCAAGGGTCCTTGTGTGGGAGGGAGATATCCTTCAAGTTTTTTTAGCGCCAAGGTAGTGAAAACGCGGGTGCAGATTGATCCAAATTTAGAATGCGCTATCAGTAATTAAGTAGGGCCGCAACCTCCGACTGTCCAATCTTTTGGGTAGTATATTTGAGCAATTATCAATATTTCCGCTTTATCTTGGCTCCGTCGCTCCCTTCCCTTTCCCCAGTAATATCAATCGCGATGGCTAGAAGGGCGGCGTATGTGACTCTACTCACAGCAACCAGCTATTTACCTGGCGTTCTGGTGCTCGATTATACCCTTAGATCTGTGGAATCTGCGTTCCCTCTTATTGTCATGGTCACTCCTACGCTACCCCAGGATGTTCGGAGTGTTCTGGAGCGAAGGGGAATTTCCATGAGGCCTGTTGAATCACTGCGCCCTCCAGAGGGAAAGCATTCACTTTCAACGCATGACGCAAGATTCGCTGATACATGGACGAAGCTGAGGTCCGTGCAGATCAGTTATGGAACTGATGGACCACTCATTGTAAGATAAAGGGCATTTGAACTGAAGGAATATGAAGTATCTAGTTCAGATTTTGCAGTGTTCATGACTTACACGTGTTTTGAGCATAGCGCGTCGTCCTCATGGATGCCGACATGATTGTGATGCGTAATATGGACGAGTTATTTGACATCGATCTCCCAAATAACTGGATAGCTGCTGCGCATGTGTGTGCTTGTAACCCACGCAAACTGCCCCACTATCCTGCTGATTGGTATGCCATTTGACTTATCTGCCATCATAATACCTCATATTTAGTCTTCCAGGGTTCCCGAGAATTGCGCATATACTCCGTTGATCCACCCCTCTGGTTTGACTACTCCAGTGCTCATTACAGAAGCAAACCCGCGTCCCCACACCCAGCTAAACTCCGGCATCGTGGTTCTCAATCCTTCCCTGGCTCTTGCAGAAACTGTCCGCAGCCACCTTTACACTTCACCTCTAGTGTCAACTTGGTCATTCCCAGACCAAGACCTCCTGTCAGATTTATTTAGAGGAAAGTGGAAACCTCTTCCATGGTGTTACAATGCACTCAAGACATTGATGTTAATTCACAAACCGCTGTGGAGAGACGAGGAGATCAGATGCCTTCACTACATTTTGGCTGACAAGCCTTGGCAAGCCAGGGTATCTGAAGATGACACAGGAGAGTACGCAAAGAGTCACAGGTGGTGGTGGCAGAGGCTAGATCAGCTCGGCCAAGAGATGAAAGGGGAACCTGAGGACTGGGGGCTGGTGCTGGCGAACGTTGCACAGTAACAATACAGACAGATACTGACGATATTTTAATGTAGAATAGGTAGGGGTTCACATGTTCAGGGTCGCCATGCGACATGCACTTCGTCGGTCCGGAATCTTGAATACAAAAATTACTTTCTGCAAGACGACTCCATAATATTGAGGCACCAACCTTTGCGTACAGGTGCTCTTTGCAAGAGGTGTCTGATATCCCATGCGGTAGCTCAGTAGACCAGCCTGAGCAATCATGATGCCGTTATCGATACAGAAACTACAAGTTCGTGAATAAGAAAACCATGTCATTAGTGCTTCAAAAACTAACCGCTCATCGGTTGCAAACACCAATCCACCTCGCTCTTGTGCCATGATGCCCATCATTTCCTGCAGTCGTTCATTACCTTCAGGTGGATAAATCAGGTTGGCCATAACGGGTTAGAACAAATATCTTACAGCCAACTCCTCCGACGATAAGAACCTCTCTACTCCCGATATGAGCCATCGCTCGTTCTGTGATTTCAACAAGCATGGAGAACACCGTCTCTTGAAGGGAGAAACAGAGATCCGCGGGCCTGATAATATCTTCTGACTCTTCATCAGGTTCGCCTTGAGCCCGGTACCGACGGTCAGATGTGTAGGCTTCGATCGAAGTCAGTATGCCAGACAAGCTAACATCCATCCCCTTGGTAGTGTAAGGTAACGGGACGAGTCGTTTTCCCCTGCGTGTACGCGAAGTCAATGAAAATACCACGAACAGAAAGAAAGTAAAACACTTCTTCGCCTCTTGCTCAATGTTATATCCTGGACTTGGGTCGTTGCTCAGGTTTATTACTCTGGCAAACCTGTCAAGGCAGTTTCCAACAGCTATATCGAGTGTTTCTCCAAAGATCCGGTAGCATTGCCGTGAATATGCGATGACCTGTGTGTTGCCACCAGACACGTATAGTACCACTGGATTCTGAGCTCCAGTGACTTGCCGTCCCATTTCAATATCTTGTTTGACAACATCAGTGAAAGTTGCACACCGTGATTGGATATACCTACGTCCGACACAATGATTGACACCAACAAGGGGCTTCTCGTACAACAATGAGAGGGTGCGAGCAACTAGAGCAACAGACTGCAGAGGTGCACCCATGCCAGGGCCTGGAGGATCATTCAAACACGAAACTTCAAAAGGGATCCAGCTGACCTTTGGTATAACATATACAGTCGAGGTCATGCATCGTAATCTTAGCTTTTGCAACTGCATCTTTAATCACCGTTAACGCCCATTCTCGATGGTGCTGGGCAGTATCTCGAGGGAGAAATCCCTCCCCAGGAGGTGTGATGTAAGTGTGCCTAACGTTAGAGAGCACTTCGGTCGATCCGTCGACAGCATGTTTGATGACTCCTGCCCCGAGTTTGTTAGCTGACCCCTCTAATCCTAGTGCGATATAGGCCCTGCCTGACGAAGTCGGTGAGTGTTGTTCGTCATAAAACACATTAATCTCAACTTGGATTCTTGAGCGGAGACTCGCGACGACGGCCTGGCATTGTTCAAGATGTCTATCTAGTTCTCGTGCTTCAAGGTCTGGTAAAAGTACAGTCACAGGAAAAAGGAATCGAAGCTATGATACAAAGTTATTAGGCCTTGTGGACTAGAGTATGCCGCAGTACTAGTCGCCGTCGATGATGACTCGGAACGATTGATGCGAATTATGTAAGTAGGTATCTAATACTACCCTACGTATTCGGAAGAGTCGCTGTCAGAGTCCATGGAGGACTCGTCAACGTTGATGATCTCTTCAATGCGGCGGCGTTTTTGTGACGAGCGTGTGACAGGCAATTCCTGTTTAATCGAACGCTGAGATGACGAGGGGTTGATGTTGTTATGTCCCATTTTTCGTGCCTTCAGTTTCTTGTAGAGGTCCTCCTTAAAATCAAGACATGTCAATTTGACGCAGGGAGCACGAAGTTCACCACGCTCATAAGCAGCCTTTATGCCCTCGACGGAACGTGAGTCTTTCGCTTTTCGTTGTGTGGTTTCGCAGTACTTGAATCGAACCTGATAGGCCAAAATTAAGGGATGACTCGGATGACTTCGAGGCTAATTATACTTACTTTTTCCGGGAGCGTCAGCCATTCTTCAATAGTCAAGGGTTCAACACGATGGGCCCGATACCGGCCCATAAGTCTGTATTTGGTTTTCTCAACCCCAACAAAGAGTTCATGTACCTCCGGCTGAACAAAGTTATGAATCTCTTCCCCTAAGCCAACAAACATGTACCCAGCCATGCCAGGGTTTGTTGGACACCAAGGATTCTCCCACAAGTTCGGGCAAAGGTAGCTTGTTATACCGAATTTTAGGGCTAGAGACTTTGGCGTTGCGATGCTGAAGAGTTCATAAGCTGAAGCCATCAAGGTTGATCAAACACATAAGTTAAGAGCCTACTTTGAAATGAGAGCTTGCGACCCTCCCCCAATGTGAGTTGTTATAAAGGGTCTTGTAAAGCATACAGTTCCACCATCCGCAAGGTCAGGAATGAGTTGCGGCGCGTTCTCGATAGCTCGCTTTCGAGGAGGTGGTAACTGAGAGGGAGGATGTACTGCAAAAATATCCACCGAAACATTTTGTTCTTCCTTCAAGTTTCGGTCACGAGATGGGCCAGCTGTCGAGGGCCCCAGTACGACTGGTAATCTGGCGCCATTGGGCGTGCTACGGGGAGTTGGGAGAGGATTTGTATTCACGCCAATCTGCATGGAGTATTAGTTGCTGTGGGATAATATGTTAGATAAAAATGGACCTACATTCACGCGTACAATTCGTGCAGCTGCTTGAAGCTCGCGCGCCAAGGCTGTTTTTTCGTTATTTAACTCCTGAAGTCGTTTCTCTAGTGTATTGGCCTGAAACATGTGTTAGGCTGCGTCGAATCGATTATTTAGTTTCAAAATCACCCTCTCTTGCTGCCTAGTGACATCCGTCTTGGACACTTTCAATTGTTCATGTAACGCATCGCGATCTTTCGTTGCAAGCTGTAGTGCTGCATTCTGACAACGGCGAACGCGTCAGTACATAGAGTATTCTACTAGCAATCGGATCAATAGTATGTATTCGACATACCACGTTCTGCAACTGCGTCATCTCAAATTCGAGTTTCGTGTTTCTGACACGAAGCTGTAGATGATTGGGCGAGAGGAACGTCAAAGAGATCGCGCCTACATACCTCATCATTTTCACTTTGCTTCAATGCGTTCAGCCGGTCGCGTTCGGTCAGGTTTGCTTCTAAATCTGCGAGTCTCTCGCGCATGACAGTAGCTTCCTTTTTCGCCTCGAGCAGTTGCCCCAGAGTTTCGACGAGGTACTCATTCAACTTGTTGAATTTGTTATCGTGCGCCATTCCAGAACTGCCGTCGATCAGTTCGGGGGAAAATTGAACAACCCGGAGAGTTAGCAAGTGGTCGCGAACAAGTCTCAGGGGGTGTACTGATAGTAAGACTTCGGCTCTGCGAAGGAATGAGTCGAACCATCTTCCGACTTCCGTGGGTCTAGAACTTGAACACTAGGGGAGCACACAAACCCCGCAGGTGCACAATTTTAAGGCTTTATGCTTTCATCACGCAAGTCAACAGAAAAATAACGCGTGCATGTAATGAATGTAATCTAGTCTAGAAACAATGGGCAGACCTCAAAGACCCGAAGACATTGTACTTTTAGAGCATGAATGTGAGTGGATTCTCAAGGTAACCTTTGAACGCAGTCATCCAGCGAGCGCCCACAGCACCATCGACTGTCCGGTGGTCCGAGCTCAGTGTCGCTTTCATCATGTTCACAGTCTTGAAACCACGCTCCTCCTCAGGAGCTGGGACGATTGTTGGCTTCGTGGTGCCAACGGCAAGGATGCACGATTGGGGAGGGTTGATGATAGCAGTGAAGTGTTCGATATCGTACATGCCAAGGTTGGACACCGTGAACGTGCCACCCTATCGAAACAATGAATTTCATTCAGTCAGCAGGAATGTATGTCACTTACCTGATATTCTTGAGGAGCGAGCTTGCCATCCCGAGCCTTTTTGGCGAGAGCTTTCGCTTCACTAGAGATGGTTGCCAATCCTTTAGAACCGACATCCTTCACAATAGGTGTAATCAGGCCAGTGGGAGTTGCGACAGCAACTGAGATATCGGCCTTCTTGTATCTGAGGGCAAGGTGAATCAGATCTTATACATTTGTGTCCGCAGAAGTACGCACTGTCGGATGACCTCTCCGAGCCATGCCGAGTTAGCCTCGGGTACGTCATTCAATGCACATGCAACGGCCTTGAGTATGAAGTCGTTGACGCTGAGCTTAGCAGCTTTGTCTTTCTCGCCAAGTGTTTTGTTGAAGACCTCCCGGAGTTTCATCGTCTTGTCCATGTTGATCTGGACGGTAAGGTAGTAGTGTGGCAGCTCTTGCTTGGACTGGGTGAGACGTGAGCCAATGACGCGTCGCATATTTGTAACTGGGGTGTCTGTGTATTCTGGAAGGGAAGCGGCAGGTGCTGAAGAAGTGGCAGCGACCGCTGAGGCTGCTGTCGCAGGTGGTTGGTACTTCTCAATGTCCTCTCGGATGATGCGTCCCTCAGGACCAGTGCCCTTGACTTGAGCCAATGGGATGCCGCGTTCCAAAGCGATCTTTTTTGCAATGGGGGATGCGAATATCCGTTCGCCCTTGGCAAGCTCAGGCTTGGCCTGGGATGGAGTAAGCTTGGGAGCCTCCTCAGCTTTGGGAGGCTCAGGTGTGCTTTCCATATTAGGTGGGGAAGGAGGTGCGGCCGAAGGCTCGGAAGCCAATTGAGTCGCACCTGACAGGTCGTCGCCTTCTTCAGCCATGATAGCAATGGGCGAGCCGACAGCAACATTTTTTGAACCATCCGGAGCCTAAAGGTGCGCAAGGCAATATGAGAGGATGAAAACTTCAAGCTTGAAGCTGACGTACGATAATCTTGGCAAGAATACCGTCCTCCTGAGCCTCTACGTCGATGGTAGCCTTGTCCGTTTCCTGTGAACAAGACATGAGGAACGGAACAGAAGCAAGGACAAGGTTAGGTGAACGCACAATCTCGAGCAGCACATCACCGGCAGCAAATGTTTCACCCTCCGCCTTTTTCCAGGAGGCGATACCACCCTCGGTCATTGTGGGACTCATGGCAGGCATGGAGAACTTGGTCAGGGCATGTCTCCGTGCAGAAATGTGCATCTCTATTAATGATGTTAGTTGTGAGCAGCATGAAGAAATAAGAACCATACGCCGTGAAAGGACGCGAGCGATAGAAGAGGAGGCCATTGTTGCTGAAGGAGCAGAAGCACGATTCCTCGAGAGCGGAAGTATAGTCAGAGTGGGCTGAGATTTTTGAAGTATGTCACAGCCAAATAACGACAAACCAGATCGAACGACGCGAGTTAACTTAATTAATACTTGGTCTCCCGACTTTTCCCTTGTACATCGTTCCACGGCAGCTGCTCGCTTTCGGCTTCATCAATTGATTTCCCATGGCATCCGATATCTTACTCCCAGGTCAACCGGCATCCCTTTCCCGTGGTCCAGTACCAAAACTTGGAGGAGGTTTATACTTGAAAGATGGGCAAGTTAGAGCGAGCCTAGTTGGTGTCGCACATTACGAAGGATCTGTTGGTTAATTCTCTTGACGATCAAATCATACTCGATTTTCAATGTGTGCAGACCCTGGCAATATCTCGCGTACGATCACATCCACCGGCAGAAAATTCGGTCGTACTAGGGACCGTCACTCGTCTGTCACCTTTGCAGGCGATGGTATCCATTTCAGTTGTTGATGGCGTCCCTCTACCGGCTGGTGAAGAATTTAATGGTGTTATACGCACTCAAGATGTTAGAGCTACCGAGAAAGACAAGGTGAAGATCAGCGATTGTTTTCGTGGAGGAGATGTCGTCAAGGGTGTAGTGGTAAGTTAATCCAGTGAACACGGTCATTAATGATTTGCTCAATCATCGCAGATTTCTCTTGGTGATGCTCGCAGTTACTACATCACTACTGCACGCAACGACCTCGGTGTCATTTTTGCCACCAGTGAAGCTGGTAAGAGTCCTTGGTTCCACCGTGTACGAATTCTAACCGACAATCTAGGGGCATCAATGGATCCTGTTTCATGGCAAGAAATGAGGTGTCCTAAGACAGGTCGAATAGAAAAGCGCAAGTGCGCGAAACCTGAGACTTTGTAAATTAGATCTTTGAATTATGTAATCAAAGTGTGGCACGGGTCAACCAAATGTTACATAGAAGTGTACAAGTCAAGAACCAAATTGCAAGCATTTCTCCTGTTTCCACCAATTTTCCTTTCTCCTTTGATATTTTCTAGTGGTTGTGTTTCTAGGTTGTACTTTATTTCTTTACAGGGTTCATGACGGCCGTTCTGTCTCCTACAGATGCCCTACGCAGAGATCCAATAATGGCCTCCTTAGAAGACAACCAGTTAGAGTACTCATGCCCTTTTTGCCACACTCAATCTGGTTTCCTAACAATGTTCTCAAAACAGTTACTCCTCCACGAACTGGAAAGCGAAGTACAATGAGGTCGCCGATATGCTGGCAGAGACTCGTGCCGAACTCGATGAATTTCACACTTCTAGTAAAGAGCTTGAGGAGGAGTTAATCAAGGAAATAGACCGTACAGAGAAGGCACAGCAGGATCTCAAAGTCAAGGTCGCAAAGACAGAATTAGACCGAGACGAATGGAAGGTATTTCTCCACGCGTCTTCCGAACCCAGTCCGCTAATCAACCCTTCACAAAGTCCAAATTCATATCGCTACAGACCACGCACAATACAACCACCACTTCCCTGCAACGAGAGTTAGATACACTCAGGCAGGAGTCTCAGAAATTGAAGGTCAGATTGCGCGACCTGGAGTTGGGCAATGATGACCTCGAGAGAAATGAGCGCGTGGTCGCGTCGAGTCTGGCGGATATAGAAGCAAGATATTCCAAGGCGCTGGAGGAAAAGATATTACTCGAGCATGAACTCTTTGACAAGGCTAATTTGGAGGAAGAACTACAACGTGTCAAGGATGAGCTACGAGGTATGTTATCTTGATCTGCATGGGGATAGAGCACTTACACTTTTCTGCTAGATTCATCTGTAGAAATTTCTATCCTCAAGGATCAGCTGATAGCTGCTCGCTCTAGGGCACCGAGCATTTTGACCGAAACTTCGGGTTCCACTACCGCTTCATCACTATTCCCTCCTCTTTCGACGGCTTCATCGGATGACAATCTGCTTAGTACTCCGCCGCCGCCGGATCTTGAACTATCTGATCTTTCTTCCAACGAGAAATCCTCTATTCCTACCCCTACTCGCCCGCCTTCTACCGCTGCCAACTCAAATTATGGACAGTCCGTCTTACTCCAGCGCGCAGGTTTCCAGCTGAGCAAACATAACCCTAATACTTCCTCACCTTCATCAATGACTCGTTCGAACACCCTTCCAACCCTTGCTGCTTCACGCAACTCTCCTCGGACTCCTGCCCTTGTCCCACGGCCTGCCGCTGTTACTGCCAGTTCTAGCGTATCCAACATCACTGCCATACCCATGATGGCATCCAGAAGCAAGGGTGTTCAAATGGTTTCCGAAATGCGTGCTCGTGTCAGGAATCTAGAACAGAAGATTCATACACGTGTTCCTCGCTTACGGATGGGCAGCAATGCTGGGCGGCAGGGAGCGACAATGTCCACGATGGCCTCCACATCTACTATATCCTCTACATTGTCAACCAAGAGTACCTTTACACGTCCTGTGATACCGGACAACAAACTTGGAAGACCGACTCCACAGCGGCTTGGCGTAGACACTGTTTTGGCGAGTGGTGCGACCACTCCCAACCCTGATAATTCAGGATGGGTTCTCATTATGGACGATACTACTCCCTCTCCAAATAAGGATGCTGAGAGGGAACACGGACGCTCATCTAGTCCCTCACCCCCCAGCGCTTTTCGCTGTGGAGTTCCTTTATCAGTATCATCTCCTATTTTTTCCAAGCCCAGTCAATTTGGCCAAAGCACAATGTCCCATAGTCGTCGACCTCAATCACGCCTCTCCGGAGCAAGCCTCAGCACTACTGCAACAATGAGTTCCATCCCTACTCCTTCATCTCGCCCCGCAACTCCCACTTTTCTTCCCATTCCGATCTCCCGTCCAGGAGTCACTGGCTACAAGAAGTCCAGCGGACCAGGGACTGGTCCGCACGGCGGTCCATATAGTCAACCGAAACGTTCCTCTATAGGTTCTAGCAATGCTGGGTCACCTACGCCTTCTTCGGATTCAGAGTTCCGCCCTCGTGAACGACCGTTCTCATACAGTGGCAAAGTTCAGAAGGACTTGAGATCGCCACCACAGCTCCCTTTGTCGCACTCCAATGTTACAGTTCGGGCATCCTCTAGGATCCCATCCTCCGCCAGCAGTGCCTCGATATTGTCACAGAGTAGGATTGGTCGACCTGCGGGTATCACCGGTGCGTGGAAGAGCGGCGGATTGGAGCTTCCTAGTCAGGACAATAGCGGTTTGCTAGAACCTGACAAGAAACCTCGGGGCAGGTCTGGGAGCAACGTGCTCAACTTTGGACGTGGCGGCACTTCTTGACTTTTCTTCCTGAATCTCTCATTTTCCGTCTGATATGCTATGCTGACTTTGGAGTGGCGCACCCTGATGAACGTTTAGACTACACGCATTTTGCATTTTGGGTCTCGAGGACCATTACTCCATGCTCACTCGTTTTCGCGAACTATTCTGCAGGGTGTACCTGCTGATCCATGCCTCGTATGACATTCATGAACACAAACAGAACGAATACCCATTTACCAGCAACACTTCGCGCTTCTCCCCACTTCCGCTGGTGCCATGATACATTACTTGTTTATTTCTGCAGCCGATCTGTGCTCGTATTTTTTTCCTCCCATCTGTCATTTTATTTTTCTCTGCGGAATTGTGTGAATTATTCTTAATGATCATTTACGTAACCACAATGACAATGCCTCTCCCCTTCGGGAGTGACGTTCACTGCATTGAAATTTCAGTGACTGAAGTCTATTTGGACTGTACACGAGTATCATTACCCACACTCCCTGTATAAATGTCTACCCCCGGTCCATCTGAATCATCTCGCTCGCTAAATTCTCAACAAGTACTCGAAGAAGATGAGTACACAGCAGCCTTGTCTCACATCATAGCGAGAGACTTCTTCCCTTCTCTCGTGCATCTCGACGCGACCAATGAATACCTTGATGCTGTGACATCGAGAGACCCCCACTTGATCAACGCATCCGTGCGTAGATTACAAGAAGTTAACAGTACCCCCGCCACCTACCACGGACGACCGTGGCAGACGCCGTCCGCAACGCCCTACGGTGCTGGTGCATCCGAGACACCGCTACACACGCCACGCGGGGAGCCAGTGACGAAACGCCCGCGGTATAATACAAGCATGAGTCTAGACAACTTCCAGGCACGGTACACCTCGGAAGACAACGCTAGCTTTACACAGATTATGGATGAGGAGAACCGGAAAAGGAAGGAGAGGTGGGGTTGGGCATGGGAGGCACAGAAGAGAGTCGAGGATCAGAGGGATAGGATGATTGAGGCGAGGGAGAGGATGATGATTGAGCCTTCTCAAGCACCAGGTGTGAAAGAGAAGTTTGTAATCAAGGCCCCTGATGTCGCAGGACTCATCACGCAAAGTGGAGAGTCGTCGAAGGAACCTGAAGGTAAAAATCAAGATGCGAAGGACAATGATAAGGGAAAGGGAAAGGAGGTGGCCATCCTCAGTGAAGCGGCCGAGGAAGGCGAGCCTATGGACGTTATGGCGCCAAGGAAAGATACTCGTCCGGCTGGTGTTGATGGCTGGAATTTCAAGGTGCGTTTGGCTCAGATGATATTTTCAGTTTTCATTTTATGGCTGAGGTACTGGATTCCAGGCTCGCAATTCTCTCATGTTCTCCCCTGATGCCGACATGTCTCCGTACCACCCGCGTACATCGAAAGCTAAAGCAAGCGATGATCTCGGTATCATAACGCATGTGAATACACGTCTAACAGAACAAGATGAAGGGGATTCTCAGTCGCGAGCTGCATCTGCTCCGCCAAGTCCCACTCGCAGTCGAATTGATGCCGCCATCACTGGCACGCCGTGTAAGTTCTATTCCACGTCGGTCGATTTTTTTCTTCTAACCACCTCACTAGATCGACCGCGGTCCCCCATGAATGAATTTTCGCTTGTACCCAGCCTGCCTTCACCTACCGCTGCTGAGCTGGGCCCTTCTGCCGTTAATCAGCTCATGACATGGGGGACCCTAAATGCAACTCCACGGATATTGTCAAAGTCCGATGATCCAGCAGAAGCCTTGCCACTGCCTAGCACACCTTTCCATATTGCTGCGCCGTCGAGCCGCGAGGCATTATCTCACAGGTTATCCTCACATGCTTCAAAAAGCCTTCGCGCGAAAGCTATTCTCCTTGGGGGGCCGACCCCAATTATCGGACGTACACCAGCCCGAGGAAGTTCCTCAAAGTCAGGTTCTATGGGCCCTCCAAGTTGGACTCCGCGGAGAGCTGACGCACCTGGCAATCTGACACCTGCAGCAAAAAGATTGTTGGATAGAACTACGATGGGTACTGCAGCAGCGAGAAGGGCGGAGGCGATGGGTCGAATGTCTAGCTGGGAAACGAGACAGACTGGGGAAAGGGATCTCAACCGTGTGCGATGGACACCGACACCGACAGCTCGGGGAGGATGAGACCTGACCCACGGAGAAGACAAATGAGCATATATCATGCATGCTTCTGGTGTTGTATCTAGAAGGCAATGGAATATCAAGACTGAGCAGCGTGTTCTTGAATTAGATGATGCTACAACGAACAAATCCACAATGACAACTACAGGAAAGTCGGGAGATGGAATTACGATGGATGTCATGATTCGGATATCTTGCGACGTTTTGTGACTGGTGGTGCATCCTCATCGATGTTCTTGATTGATTCCTTCGCCTTCGGTTCGCTGGGTGTTGGAACATTAGACTTGGGTCTCTTCTTCACTACAACACCCTTCAATGATTTCTTGACATCTTTCTTGGACATCACCACGGGAGCTTTAGGCTTCTCCGGAGTATCATCACTCTGTTTTCGTGGTTGTGCCATAGGCTGCGTAGGCTTGTTGAGGTCATTTTCCCTAGCTGCAACAGCTCTTTGCGGATTCTCAATGTCAGCGACGGAGAAATAATCAACGGAGACATACTTTCTGAAGTCTGAAAGCTCCTCGCCGTCCTGTGCTTTCCGGAGGCGTTCTTCTTCGGCCTGCTTTTCTCTGATGGAATCTAGAAACATGATCTCGTCCTCTTCTAGTGCTCGAAATTGATTTGCTACAATTGGGCAAGTCAAGATCACCATGAAAAGATATCATTCCGACTTGCCTAATTTCGTCTTCTCCTCCCATTCTTCCTGCTTCGCGGCCTAATCCACCTATGAATCCACCAAATGAAGAGCAGCTGTAGTAACGTACCCTGTTCGCAGCTAATTTCTATTCACGGTTCGATTTCGAGTGAACACTGGAGGCAAAAGCACTGCCACTCACCTCTGCTAGACTTCGACCATCGAATGAATCTTCCACAGGCTGCGGCGGAGGAACCTGTCCGAGCCTAGTATAGCTTCATGTGTCGTTGTACTTTGAGTCAAGGCTGTATCTGCTGCGCACCTGGCATATGCTGCTTTCCACTGTTCGTCTCTGCGAGTCTTTGCCTCCTCTAGGTCGTTTTGAGAGATGAATCTCGAGCCGACAGGACCGCTAGCTGACACTGAGGGAAAACCGTCCTCCATGTGTTAACCTTACCGATAATTGAATGACCCCAAGTGTAACCACATATGTCGGCATCTCGGCACATTTAGTTATTATTTGAGCACCTTCGCATCTGCTGTCACTTACCGGAATCTGTGTATAGCGGATGGCCTGAAAAATAACTGACCGGCATTCAATCTGCACTAGCTGGTCCTTAGGTCTCATTCTTTTTTCATTCCTTCGCCCATGTCTCTATCAGCTGCCAGCACTCGAAAACCTCTATCGATTCCGTCAAACAGTAGTCTTGCAGCCTCAGTCCGGAGTCATGCACTTGTAGTACCTTCAGCGACGAGAACCGTCGTTACTGCACCCCGTATGAACTTCTGAATATTAATCCAGCGGTGTTGCTTACTTTTTCCCCTAATCTACATAGCTTGGGCGCAAGATGAACCTCCTTCTCCCATAGATGATGACCATCATTTATATGATCAGAAACCATCCGACCTCGCCGCTTCTCGTTCGTCATTTGGAGGAGTAAATGGAACTTGGTCCGAGAATAAATCACCCTGGGGGACGTTTGCACGTCCTCGAGAACCTCAGGGAGAGCCATCGAGTCAAGCGGCTGGCAAGATAGGTGCTGCCCACCAAAACAGACCACCCTTACCATCATACATGAATCCCCGGTCGCACAATGAACCCCACTTTCAGCCGGCGTCTCCACTGGAGAAGGGAGCTGTACATTTTCATGCCGAGTCTTCTGCACCTTTCACTTTACCTTGCAATAAAACTCCTGGTTGGGACACGCCATGGGAACCAACACGCGATTTCCCTACGAATGATTATTCCAACCTTGGGATGACTGAAGATCGCTCAGATAACGAATCAGGAGACAGGTCCAATTCTGGGAGATCTAGGACGAAGCGCTTCAGGACTTTCATTCTTACGAATATATATGTGCCATTGGTGAGTGCAGTGCTATCTACTCACTTTGTTGTGTGTATAAATCTGCGATCTAGCTTTTTAGATTCATCAATATAACATTTACCACTGCGGCCCTTGCGGTGGCTATCAGAATACGCATCGTCGAATTGCAATATAGTGTCATGGGAATCGTAGGAAGTTCTCCGTATGTCACTTCGCAGCTTGATAGGTGACAACTTGATGAACATACGTTTGCCAGAACCTTAGTGATTATATTTGCACCTCTGACTTTAGTCCATGTCATGGTGGCGATATATGCAAGTCTTTCCACCTTGATTTCTCACTCTTATCTCATTCCATTACAGCTCGAATATTTCGGTCGCCCCATGGGATTATGGCGAACATCTGCGAAACTTGCACATACCCTCCTCGAAGTTTGTTTCATCTGTGCATGGTCTGCGGCGTTTTCCCTCTGTTTCGACAATTTCTTCACCTCTCTTATTCCCTGTGCGTCAGCGAGAAGCATAGCTTGGTACGATGAACTCAGTCGGCCAGAGCTAACGCTTCCGAACCTTGGACGAAATGAGGGCGGAGTGGGAGATACGCTTTGCGACTATCAACTTGCATTGATTTGTCTGGTTGGGGTTGGCCTTGTCACGTATTGCATCAATATTGTCATCAGCCTCTTCAGGATTTTTGAGAAGGTCAAGTCTTATGCTGGCTTTCGCCCTACAATGCCATTTTAGCGCACTGCATGGCTCGTACACCCTTCTATACCACATCAGATCCGTCATTTTTCTGTTTGCATTTCATGCTACACTTCATATATTCCTTCATTATCACGGACTACCAATCTAGGCGCTCCAGTGCGGTGTATTATATACATAACTGTTTCATCCACATGTACCATTAAAATGGATTCATTTGATTCTAGAGTAGCATTAAAGATAGACCATTGAATTGGTTGATTGTAGAGTGTCAAGTGCCACTGGTACTGACATTCAATCTGTCTTCTCGAAAATTCACACGGCAACACATGTTGGCACTCACTGGATCCCTCGGGCCCTTCATCGAATAAGTACGTGTGCCCACCCAGTGCTAGTCTTGTTTCATCGATCATCCTTTGGTTCAGATGAACACCGAGTCCGACTCCGGCGGCGAGCCTTCAGAAGGCGTTCCTAGGAACACGAACACCAAGAATTACATTGTCGGCCTCGGTCTCCTCTTCGCGGTTGTCCTATTATGGACTGCGTCCAGTTTCTTGACGCAAGTAAGCAAACGAGCGCATTTCTGAGCAGTGATATCTATTAATTTCCTGCAGGACATGTATGACGACGGGTACCAGAAGCCATTCTTGTAAGTGTGATTCCTATCTTCGTAGTTGGATACATCCTTACCATGATGCAGGATAACATACACTAACACCGCATCATTTGTGTTTTACTTGCTGCCATACATCACACGAAGATTATGGGCTGACCGGTGGGGTCCGCCCAAATCCACAAGGTAACTTCAAACGGTATTCCATAACTCTAATTGCTAATCAATACCGACTTCAGGTCAATCATAGATTATCAGCCGCTGGAACAAGAGCTTGACATTGATGCAGAGCCTGCAGTAATTATATTGTCTATCATTCTTTCACACGACCCCTCTGACTATATCTATCATAGGTGGAGCTGATAGCTCCAATTGATCAGGTCGATAGGCCGTTCACCGTGAAGGAGACCGCAAGGTTGGCACTTGGATTCTGCTTCCTGTGGTTTATTGCGAACTGGACTTTGAACGCCGCTCTGGCATACACCAGCGTTGCAAGTTCAACAATTCTGTCTGGCACGAGTGGTGAGTGTGTTTGTACTACTGTTATTCATCAGCTGTACCAATATGTCATCCCTGGAAGGCATGTTCACTCTTGCCGTTGGACGCATGTTCCGCGTGGAAACCCTAACATTAATCAAGATTGGAGCTGTGCTTACTGCGTATGTAGTTAATTTTATCTTCTCCGTGTATGATTCGGCTCACCGGCTTGTAACAAGCTTTGTTGGTGTTATCCTTGTTGCTATTTCTGACGGGTCTCCCGATGGCCAACCAGAAGGAATAGGGCCATCAATAATTTACAAGGCTGCCACCTCATTACCAGTTCTGGGAGACTTCTTGGCTTTGATGTCGGCTGTGTTTTATGCTCTCTACGTCGTCTTCCTCAAGGTTCAGATTAGGGAAGAGTCGAGAATTGACATGCAACTGTTCTTTGGGTTTGTGGGATTTTTCAACATAGTTCTATCCTGGCCTATGGGCGTCATCCTGCATCTGGCTGGAATGGAGCGCTTTGAGATACCCACTACCCATAATGCTATTGTCATTATCTTGTTGAATGTGAGTTTCCGTCGTCTGTGTCTCAGTGTTGGAAATTTACATGGTTTAGATGTTTATCACCTTATCGAGTGACTACCTATACGTCATTGCAATGCTGAAGACCACGCCTTTAGTGGTGACAGTCGGTCTTGGTCTCACCATTCCTGTCGCGGTCATTGGGGACTCCTTCCTTGGGAAGCCTGCCGCTGCGCAAGTACTGGCAGGTGCCCTCCTGGTTGTTATAGCCTTCATTGCAGTCGGCGTCGAGAACGCAAAGCCAAGCGAGGGCGGCGACCTCATTTCTGACGATTTCGTGGACAACGCTTGCGCCCAGCAGTCCCGGGTTCGGCTTGAGCACTAAGGTCCTCTTGAATGCAAAGTCTATCTTTGGATACTGTTATATTTATTTGGAAGCGACATTGTCGCACGGTGCCGTTCATCATTTTCTATTGACTGTACTACTTAGATTAGATCCAAACTTAGAGCACTAAATATATGTTTTTTGGTCTTCGAGGGTAATGCTCCGGGATCCGAGTAAAACGGTGCAAAGACCGCTGATATCGCTAAATTATGTGATTTCGATGCTCATGCACATGTGACTCGAGGACCGGGCAGTCAGAAGGAAGGGTCGGCCGTCTACCCATCCTCCCCTAGTATCTGTTTACACTTGTTAGGATCAGAAGCTTTCTGCATCTTACGTCATGTACTGCCAGTGGACGTTTGATTCAAATCTATCAAGATGGTGGGCAATGAGCCTCACTGCTACACATCTCACTAATATTCATTGTAGCCTAGAGAGCGCAGAAAACGTATTTCAGCCCATGAACCTTCCGCTAAGCCCGCCCAGCGACAATTTGCAGTGCAAGAGAATGCGGTCGAAGCGGTCGAAGTAGGTGCCGCGGCAGAGATTTCAGTGCGTCTTATGACAAAATTTTGAATCTACTTCTATACTTAATCTCGACACTCGTCAGGGGGAAGTAATATTGCAAGAAATGTCCACAGCAGCTACTCAGCCTCGTCAATCGATAAAAAAGAAAGAGAAACAGCAGCTCAAACACGAAGCTTTCATTGAAAGTACGCTCTATATTTCCAACCAACACTTCTCTTCTCATCCTGTGTTTCAGAACTGAAATTGAAAACATCGCCATACTCGAAAGTGCAGAGACGCCGATTCAATAGACGGCAACGAGAACAAGTCGGCGGCGGACTTGATGCCATTGGCGCTGTTCTTTCCGCCATTGATATGAGTGATTCGCCAGAACAAGGCAGTCCAGCGGCTGAGGAGACAAAGGATGCTCGCGCTCACAAAGTTCAACCCAAAACGCTTCAGATTGGAGAGGGCAAGGGAATACCGCTAAAGAAGAATCAGCGAAAACGTGCTTTGTGAGTTCATACAATTTCCTCACTTTTATATGCTCATGTTAATCCGCTTTTCAGGGAACTTGAGAAACTTCGACAGCCATTGATACTATCAAATCCACAGTACTCGTCAAACCCATTTCAGACGATCCGCACTCACGCGCAAAATACACTCGTGAAGCGTGTTGATGTACCAGATGCGCAATAACTTCAATGTACGATAATCTGAATGTACGAGAGTCTACTGCACTACATTCATAACTATACCCGATATTCCAAGACTTTTACGGTGATGATGGATGGTATACGACTACTGGTGTAATGCCAATGTCTCCGATGTTTGCCATCCACGTAAGGTGTCAGCGACATATATGCTTCTTCATGGGGAAGTTATCTAGCACATTGTTCGGGAAGTGCATGGATATGGTTTGGGTGGCGCACGCGAGTATGCTCATTTGAACCAAACCCATCTACATATCAACATTCATTCCAGTCGTATGCACATTAAGGACGTGCGCGTCAGATTTTAAGAACAAAGGTGTGTGATATGAAAACTGACAGCGCTGACTGGTATATCTTCCGACAGTGCCACCGTGTGCTGTGTTATGGCCCAAATTTCCAAGTATGATCATTTGGGATATATAACCAATCACTACTATGTCAGCGGTATTATAAGAAGTGTTCGTATTGATAAAAGGAACGATAGGCTACATATAACTGGTGAGCATGAATATGTCTCCTTTTATGACGTTCCCAGACTGCATGGAGAGTACAGTTTCATTTGTCGCCACTTTACGATTTCCAACGATCCGATCTCAGACGTATCAAGATACCTTTGCCTCGTGTCTGTGCATGTTCATTGTCGTAGATCATGTTCACAGCCCTTCAAGGACTGTAGTCCGGAACCCGTATTCTCCTGATCCGTCCTCGAACACCACAGGGACAATCTGCTATGACCACACGCCAGGATTCTGCAGCATGCCAAATTAGGTGATCGTGCCTTTATTTCATAGGTCAGTGGTTGAATGATTGATGACCAGACTGGTTGTTATGGACACATCTAGGAACTGATTCCAGGTAACTGCAACCCTTCGAATTGAAGATAACGTCTAGGCCTGCACTATCTTGCCAAGCATTGCTGCTTTGCTCGTCGCTCGTTTGTCATCTTGGACTTGCTATGCTATTCCTGAATCTGGCAGCACGGAGAACTTGACAGCAAAGCCGCTTGCTGATTGAAGCAAAAACGCTCAGCGGGCACATTCTGAGACAGGTGCACAGTTGACGTTGACATCCTGTGACGTTCTTCTCTCCCCTACCGATGGCATGGCATACCTCTTGCTTCTGTTCCCGTCATTTCGCGAAGGTCTCGTCTAGTTCCGTCAAAGTTATTCATCCCTCGCCCAAATGTATGCTTAAATACGCAACCTCCACAAAGTCTCCATGACACTCGAGTTCACTGGTCACAATGATCATCGATAATCGCCCTCCCGTATGCATTTGCTTCACTCCTAACTTTGACTCCTTTCGCCGAACACGGCACACTGTTTCAGCGAGACACAACTGGATAGGTTTCTATCAAGGTTCTTCAAGTTCCCAGTGAAAAAACCATATCCATCGGGTCAGCGTAAGTATCTTAATGTTTGCGTTTCAATTATATTTCGTGCGGAATTTCATGATGAGGCAACCGTTTATCCTTGTAGGAACCAGCGATCTGGCCTCTATCATCACCCAGGAGTATACTCGATAGTGCAATTTGTACAGTACATGCTCGTGTTGCCGGATCCGCTTTGCATTTCCATCTCGCTTTCTTTGCTTTTAGAAAAACTCACTCGTGTATTATCATCTTTGGGCCCTACCCGGGCCATTGACTATCGGACCACAAACCCTATCGCAGCAACTGTCAGAACGGTGCTGAGGCAAGTATCTGAGTGTGTGCAACGCGGACATGACGCTCACGACCTTGCAGGTCCGCCACTGCATGCGCGCGCGACCGACGCCACGACAACATGAGCTCGGGGTTGATCATCAGTCCCCTTTCATTAACTAAAACATCGTGGAGTCGTGTATCATCGTACAAGAGGTTACAACCTCTGCAAAATCTCCATTACATCAATTAGATAAAGTTTTTGCAGATGTGAATTAACCTACAACTCGAATCAAACATTAACACTCGACATCGTATGAATCCACAAGTTGTCTATTCGCAACACGGCATAAATATATCATGGTATGCATAAATAAGGTATATGCAGTGTGATACAGAAAGTAGCTCAGACTCAGGTATCTGGCTCATCCCCTGTGGGGCTCATTCCAGCACTCCAAACCGTACTGCCACTCCCACCTCCGCTCCTTCTGCTTCTGCTTCTGCGACTTCTCCACTCCTCCCCAAGGCTCCTCGGGGGTTCAGTAAAACCTCCCGGTCTACCTTTGGCAATCTCATCGATGAGCATTTGCTCATGCGCATCCAATGCTGCCAAAGAGTTCTCTGCCTCCGCTTGCTCCAGAGCCTCATGCGTAAGTCCAGACCGTCTGTCACCAATGATGCCAAGTCCATACGTTGCTTGATGACTATTGTGTGTCGAAGGCCCGGAGTTAACAGACGAAGTATCGGAATGACCAGTAGTGGATCGTGACCTAAAGATTGAAAAGCGACTGGCTGTAGCAGTCTGAGGGCTCTCGGGGGTCGAATAACTCTTTTGAATGGACACCAATGGAGAAGGAGCAGGTTGCTCAATACCCATGAGTTTCATGGTTGCATGGAGCCGTTCTCTTTCCCGCCGATCCTCCTCATCTTCATGGGTCTCCAGTTTGCGTGCGCTGGTCATGGGTGTGGAAGTTGATTTCAGCGTGAGAGGTCGCAAATTGGCTTGTTCGGGTTTCTTCTCTGCGCCGCCGAACAAAGAGAAGTTCTTCCAGTCGATGGACATAGAACGTCGTTGAGATGTCTTCGGGGCAGAGGTATCGGAAATGGGAGGTGGTGACAATGGCATCTTCTCGGGAGCGGGGGGTGGGAGCGGAATCCGAGGCTGCTCGAGAGAAAAAGGTTGATTGTGGTCGAGGTTTGGATGCCTTCGCTGGTGCACTGGCAGTGGTTATTACACCCAGAGAAGGAGACTTGGAATGCATGGTTGGAGACTTCTCATAGTCCACTGAAAGGACATGCTCGAAGCCTTCTTCTGCAATGATTCTGTCGATGATTTTGGACGCATATAAAGAAAGTGCCTTGTTGGCATCTTTGAGAGTCTTGACTTCTGATCGCAGGGCTTCGAGGTCTGCATTTGAGTCTGGCATGTCAGAAGTGGAGACTTTTCTGGTGTCCGCAGATACCCTCTTTCGTCTTCCTTTGCCACCAAGAGCTCGATCGCTATCGATGGAATCTCCGGAGAGAATGTCCTTGTTCTCAGCACGGCCAAGTTCAGCAGCCAAGTCAAGTCCTGGACCAGTAATAGGGAGGTCGGCGAGAGACTCTCCGCGCGGGGGAGAATGTGATGCCGAGTCATTCCTGCGCACATGACGTCCATGACGGTTTGAAGATGGCGAATCAGATCTGAAACCTTGCTCCAGATCATCATCCTCCGTCATCTCTTCCTCGACCCTGTCCAACACACTCCTGTCCGTACTCCTAAGACTGCCTGCGTCGTCTACCATCACTTCATCATCATCATAGCCGCCGTCCGTCGTGTTTGGGGCGCCACCGACTTGTTTTAAGAGATCAAATTGGCCGCTTAACGTCTTCTCTCGTAACAAGATCATGTAGCTCTCGTTGTCCTCTTGTAATTGATTGTTCACTCTCTTCAAATCCACAAGCTGTGCTTGCAAAAGTATGAGAGTACTTTGCAAGGATGTATAAGATGTTGATAGTGTCGAGAGCTCAAGTTTGAGAGCAGTCATTTCAGCCGGTTCGCTTTCCGGATCGTTGAGGTCCTGCTTAGTGGAATAGTGCTGTTCCTCGCGATTTCTAGGGATAGAAACTTCTGATGCCTCCGCCTCCGCCTCAACGTCGGTGTCAAGGGGATCGGGGTGAGAAGAATCCGTAGTAAGGGTTGCATCAGCAGATCGGGGCGGTTCAGCAACTTTGCGAGCTTGCGTAAGGGACTGAATCCGTGATCTGAGGTGTTGTTCGTTGTCATAAGATGCTTGTCGCTCTGCCTCGAATGTTGATGTCTACGATCATCCATATGTGTATGAAGTGCGAGAAGAGATAAAAACGGACCTGCTCATTATATCGCCTTTGCAAATCTCGCTTCTCCCGTTCAAGCTCCCTGACTTGTGCCCGCAGCTTTTCAGAGACTTCGATACGGGCTGCCATCTCCTCTTCCATCCGCGCCTGATCAACGTACATTTCGTTCAAGCGAGATTCTGTCGTATTCAAGGCAGACATGACATTGTCGTTCTCAGCCGTCAGACTAGCAATCATCTGATCCTTATTTTGGACTTGGACGAGCAACTGATTGTGGCGGTCAATGAAGCACTCTCTCTCAGAATTATGAACGCACCTCTTCCTTCTTTTCGGTCTCATGCTTCAGAGCAACATTGAGCGACTCGCGAGACTCTGGTCCCATTGTTGGTGCTGCTTTCATAGAAGAGCGGCGTGATACTGCTGCACCCTGTGAATTTGGAGCACGAACAGAAGCCAGAGCTGGACGTGGTGTAGAAAGGCTCTTCGCGGGGGGAGGCGACGTTGTGATACTAGATGAGCGTCTGAAACCCGGTGGAGTGGCCCGAGAAGTTGGGGCGCTACTAGTATTCATGATGAGTTCAGGGTGGCGTAACGCTGGTATCTGAACGCCCTAGAAAGCTATTGGTACATGAATCTGGCTTGCAGGCCAGCTGTAAGTTGATGCGCTGTGAGTATGTATGTGCTTGGTGAGATGTGCTTGGGTAAACTGTTCATGCGAAACCATGTCTTTCAAATCCAGAACAGGTAGGTGGGTGGTAAGAACACCGCCGCGGCACTAGTACATGATAGTACAAACGTCTTGTGGCACAATGCAAATCGAGTCGTAAGTGGCTCTCATCGACCACGGCATCTTTCAGTTCAGTAAGTCCGTTATATTAGATGTACGAGATTGACATTTCACTTTCGAACGCAGATGGCTTCCTTGCTAAACGAGATTCCTCGAGAGTCCCTTCAAAACGTAAGTTCACTGTCTTCGTTGTCAAGGGTAACTTAGCTCAATCAATGGCTAGTTGCTTTCCTCTGTAAGGGTATACGGTGAGATCTAGCACATCGCCCCCATCTGATGTCTTTTGTGATCGAACCTCGTCAGCTCCGCCTCACATCTCAGCGCCTGCACCGCTGCTTTCATCCCTCAGCCGCGGAAATGTCATAGAGGTCCAGGGTCCTGCTTCGTCAGGGAAAACCCATCTCTTGTATCATTTTGTACTGCTCTGCATTGCTCCGTCAAGGCAAATGTCTATCGACTTTGGGGGGAATGGATTGGCTGCAGTCATCTATGACACAGATGCATCGTTTGATGTCGCAAGACTCCATCAGTTGCTATTGGCTCGTCTGTCGCTTTTTCTCCCTCACAACATCGAGATGGCACGACGTTTAACTGAGGAATCGCTGCACCGTCTACATGTCTTTCGGCCAACTTCGCTCCTCCAACTCGCCACCAGTCTTTTACATCTTCCATCCTATCACAGAGTCTCCATACCAGAGCACGAAATAGGTCTTATTGCCGTGGATTCATTGAGCTCATTTTATTGGACCGACCGTTTCATCGCGGAGCAGATGCGCAATGTGCCCCACAGGGAACCAGAGCCTTCATCGGTAAACCCACTCCAGCATGTGCTTACGGCACTTGGTCGACTCCGCTTGTCTCATGCCCCTTTCATCATATTGACCAATTGGGGTCTGAATCTCGCTTCGCAATCCAGTGGACCGGTGACGTTCTACAAGCAGCACTTACATTCATTCCCTGTTTACTCTGAAAACCTTGACGCGAGCGCTCTGCCCAGTTCAATAACGGACGATCTTCCACCAACGCCCATGCCGCTTCCCCTTACGCACCACGTCACCTTACTCCCGGTATCGATACCTCCTTTTGCCCCAGAGATTTCCCTGGGTGATGCTATCCAACAGGAAGTAGGTTATCGTAGAAGTATGGTACAAAAGGGGGAAATTACGGGTCTTGTCAGGACTACGGGAAGGCATGAGATTACCCGTTTGACTCTTTGCATCACACCTGAAAACGTTCATATCAGACACTCATGATGCTCTTCGCAACTTCTTTGATTGTTAGTCCGCTAATACTAAGGTATTTGACATTATATACGGTTTGATTAGGTACTTCCACTTGTGTAGTGGATGTAGTGATTAATATAAGTTGTGCTGCTACAGTTGTCGATTGTGAGTTGGTTCCATAGCTAGGTGTGCGTAGCGTTAATAAAACAAGGTATAGATATAAGTTAGGTCCAAGACGATTACTTCAATTAGGATAAGATATAGTGGACTGCATTACTGCAGAGAGGCGTAGATCTTGTCGAGTTCGGCTTGGTATGCTTCCTCAACAGCCTTACGCCGAATGTTGCCTTTAGTTGCAGTGCGAGGAAGGGATCCCGAAGGCACTACAACAATCAAATTCGGGTTCGTGATCTGCTCGTGGAGGTAGCGCCGGGAGTGAAATTGGCGAGTTTTGCGGATGATGTCCCGCTTGAGCTTCCCGTGGTCAACACCAGGAGCAGGCTCAACAAAAAGAGCGGGCGACGGACGCCCGGTTCCCACGACAATGCATTCTTGGATGAGGTCACCGCAGGTGGCTCGAATATTATCTTCGATCGCTCTAACATCGTAAATTAATGGCTCCGAATCGCACAGCACGTCATACGTACTTTGTATCGCACCGCAAGCTATTTTCGCTCTTGATCCAGTCATCGTTGCGACCACGGAATGCATATGATCCGGGCATAATTTCTTGGAATAAATCACCGGTGTGGAAGTGACCGTCATTACCGCGCAAAGATGCGTCCGGGCAGTCGCCAGAGGTGGAAAGAATAACAAGCTCCAACATCTGGGCTGACGTCTTGTGCCCTGACTCAATCTGAGTGTCGGCATCAATGGGTAGAAAGCCGTAATATGTTCCCGGTATAGGACGAAGAAGAGGTGCATCCCGGCCTTTGCCACCCATAGATAGGAGCATTGCACCACATTCGGTGCTGCCGAAGAGGTTCTAGATCGATAGGGTCAAGCTGAGGATGAAAAAATGCTCAGATGAATCTCACCTTCATGTTCAATCCATTTTTGTATGCCCAGTCCTCATCCTCCTGAGGTAATGATAATCCGCTGATTAGGATTTGATCGAGACTTTGAAGGTACCCTAGAAGTTTGCGGTTTTGCCGCGAGTTGCGAAGGTGAATCGAAAGGAATGTGGAAAACTGGTTCAGGCGATTGAGCTGGCAGCGGTGGATCATATCGACCAATTCTTCTGAAGAAAACCCAATTTTTGTCGGCTGAATCACGCAAGATCCGTGTTGCAAAGCGCCAATGAGCACTAGAATCACGTCAGAAAATAAAGCATAAACGATTCAACGCAGGGCTCACTGAATGTTTGAGCAATGTGACACATGCTGCCCCTGGAAAAGAGTTAGGAAGGGAAGGAAAATACGGGATAATGTACATACATCCAAACGGAAACATCTTGCTTGCACGGACTTATGGGAGTGCTGGTCACCTTAGCCTTCGCCACAATCGCATCGAGCCAGCGAGAATTACAAGGGACGAGTTTGGGGCTGCCTGACGTAGAGCCACTTGTATGGAAAATAAATACCGCTTTGTCAGGGTTGGAGGTGGATCGTATGGGAGGAAGGTCATATTGGAAAGATGCCATGTCCTGCTTTTTGACCGCCAGATGGACGGGAAGGGGAAACGATGCAGTCGATGACTGGAATTGTGAATCCAATATCAACGCTTTCGAGCCTGCCTTCTTGAGCAGTTCAAGTACAACGTCAGGATTTGGCAAACGAATGCTGAAGAGCTGAGGGACATATCCAGCTCGCGAAAGGCCATAAATATGGAGAACATCCTGGTATGTCATTCCCGGCAGCCTGCAGGTACTACGTCAGCAACTTAGATTAAAGAGCGGGCTCGAGAGACATACCATAAACCTATGACAGAATGCTCTGGTACGCCGTCAGACTCAAGTATCTGACGCCAATACCGAGCAGTGAACTCGACATCATCCTTGAACTGGCTGTAAGTTATTGACGACCAATCATGTACCTGACCAGTTGATATATCTGATCGGGGCACTCTGAAGACCGGAGTGTCTGGGTAGGAAGAAGCACTGTGTTCTAGGACTGTGAGGTGAGATAGGTAAGTAGACATCAAGGAGAGGAGGTGGGATGACTACAGGATATTTGGCCGGATGGGCCTTTATATACATGCTGTACGAAGGCCCAAGCCTTGCGTCAGAGGATATCCCGGTACGGAGTTGTTTACGAATGCGGGTGATGGTAAAGCGTTGTTAGGCGTGTTGCGGATAGCCTCCAAGTCACGGCGATAGGTCAAATATTGAAACGATCGGGATAGTGCAGTGCGAGTTGAACGTATAACCTGGCGCTAAAAAAGGATAAGACAAGTGAAACCCAAGTCGTGGAGTCGAGATCAGACCTGAGAAACGCCACGGGCGACGAAGATCGCCGTGTCAGACCCTGGAAGTAAATTGAAAACTCCAAATTACAGGGCAAGAGATCGCTAGATTGGGGCCCTAACATCTCGTGGTAGCTCGGCTCTGAAATGAAACTACAACAATCGCATCGCGCATCGGATTCGGAGTGTGCGATACACTGGATGGGATATGGCAAAGAGCGTTCCGCCATGGACGGAGGTTAGCAGATCACGTGATGACTTATCTTTGGCTTGTCTAAATACTGGAACGGGCCAAGCACAAGAAGAGACTTCACCGCCTGTGTTAAGTACAGCCCGAACTAAACCGTGTTTTGATCAATTACGATATTACCTCGCTCCAATCACTGACCTTGTATTCTTACCATCGTAGCAACTAGTTCTTGTTCCATCACTATGCCGGAGTGAAACCGAATGACTCGTTATGAATTGCCATTAGGTTCAACTTAAGAAAAACTGAAGCGGTAACCAGATTGAACGAAACGTTTTCGGCGGTAGCGAACACGAAGGTAGGCTCGTGATCAAGATGAACACCCCGTTCGCTGACTTATGTAACAAATGCGTGATATTCACCACCAACTGTTTGGCGTCAAAATAAAAATTTAGACCTTGAACGTGCTTCAGGGGTTCTGTGCTCTTCAGTCCGACGGCATGGCAGTCCCGCCCATCCTCACTCAATCTCTCTCCCTGAATGTATCAGACCTGTAGATCAAAATAACCGACAAGGCAACAAGTACCTTGATAATTCTCGATACGTCACACAGTTCGGTACCTGCATCTGGTGAACCTTTGAGCCACTTGGAAGAAAACTCTCAAACCGTCAAGTGCTTGTGATCATCTCCCTGACTTTGGCAATCATTGCCCCCGGTCAGGTTCGGAGTAAATGTATCATCGAAGCCGAACAAGGTAAAGTTTTAAACAGATCAAGCGTGCTGGCGATGCCAAGGTACCAACGTGCGGTCACGCATCCGCTCGACGCAAATTGTCTGCCGCTGGGTGTTCTTGAATAACATTTCATTGATTAGACGCTCGCTCGCTTCAATCTATTAGGCACGAGGAAACCCGGACAAACGGACTGAATCACCCGCTATCACTTGTTATGCCTATGATCGCGGGAGACATCTTGTCCATATTCCAAATGCCCGGAAACAGATCACCGCTGGGATGCCGTGGGTTCACCTGCACACGCACGTCGTCGAAGAATTCAATTACTAGTTGAGCGTGGCCATGAAACTCACTTTTGGTGGCGTTAGGCGTTTCGACTCTGGGGTAAGGTGGGCCGCCTCCATCGGGCAGGTTCATTGGTGTGATTTTTCTTCCGCCTCCAGTAGAATCTGTTGTTCTTCGTGTCGATAAGCCGGCGAGCAGTCGTGTCGAATGCGACATCTCCCCCCTCTTTCATTCAACTTAGGTTGATGTCAAATGTGTATTTGAAAGTACTTGTCACTCTCTGAAGATACGGGTCGCCTGTTGATAAACAGTTCATCAATATTGTTTGCACCGCGCTGCGAGGTATGGTATGTAGAATATTAATATTACTTTGGTGGTGGTCAGACTCTGAGTCTGTGTACAAAGTTCGTTCGTCGCATACCGGAATTTACCGATTGAAATTGAACAACCTTTTGCTCTGGACGGTTGCATGCTCGAGAGTCCATATCATCGACTCTGCAGTTCCTGTAAGATCGCTTTCATTCAAATTGTTTACTTTCAGCGCTCACCAAAGTTTTACCGTCAGTCACGGTGGTCGAGCTTCACAGCCCCCCCAATTCTGGCTGTCGATGCTAGGGGGAGCCAGCCCCATTCACAGGCAGCATCTCAAGCAAGCCGCCCGAATCGGCCGCCACATTGCTCTCGGAACGCCATTTCATTCCGTCTGTCAACTTCACCATACAGCATGTTCCACTCGGGCTGTGACTCGCTCCCAGGCACATCTACCAGACTGTCAGACCAGTGCAAAACGAAATTTTCATCCCGCCCATGCTTATATTGGGACATCTCATTATCGCAGTCCAGACTCACAGTCTTTTATGAAAGTCAAGCAATCTTCCACCACAGGAACTCTGGACAGTTACCCGCCGGAAGTGGTAGCTGTCATCGATACGTGTCTCGCGCACGCGACAGAGTCGGTGGATTGCGAAGCTGTGAAAAAGATCAAGAACGTTCCTATCTACTCTCGGTATTTTACCAACAGGGAGTGTGTCAATCGTCTCGCCCAGGACGCGGTCGCGACTTCACGCCCACAACGAGCATTACAAATTCTGAATATTGCTCATCACTTTGGCTGTTACTTGAAACCAAATCATTACGAGGGCGTTGCCTATCATCTAGCAAGCCGAAGCCATTGGGATTTGATCCCCCTGCTGGTTACAACTGCCAGGCACCATTGTGGCCGTGCATCGGTCCGACTCCTCAATTGGAATATGCGCGCTTTCGTAGAGAATCAACGTTACGATCAACTCGACCACGCATTCGAGGAGTTCACAAACGCAGACCTCCCACCAAACAGGCGAACATTTCATCTCCTTATTTCAGGTCACCTTCGGAACCGAAATTTGAATTCTGCAAAGCAGTACATGGAGAAGATGGCTGTCGCTGGGTTCCCCGTAGACTCTTCTACTCATGCTGTCATCGTCGCTGCCTATCGTTCTCTCGGAGTAGACCTGAAGGTGCAAATCCGTG